AAAAGTGCAACACATTGCTTAGAATAGCACTTTCCCCACCGGAATTCTTGTTGGAGTCTTGAGGCACAGGATACTTCACCGACGTACCTTCCAAGTCGGGATGGTTGTTAGAGAGCCACCTCAATCCTGACATGCCACCACTCCTACAATTCCATGATGAGTGTATACGAGCTATGAACCAGACTACATGGTTTGTCTAGATCTTAAACAACAAAGCAGAGTTGTCACTTGTACCATAGGCAGACCGTGGTAATATATAGTATTGCACAATTCATACAAAGGAGAAGGGTGCTAATTACACATATACTGTACCAGACTATGTGTATAGGCTCTTTCCATACTCTCAGACCTAATAGAAGTGTACTGAGAGAGCACATAGAAGTCAACAAGCATTAGCACAGGAGGAACTCGATATTTAGAGGTGGATGTCACTCCTTTCCATCACGCGGTGCCAGGACCCCGAGTGCAAGCCCGCATTGCTGTGCTCGATTTCCTAAAGTCGACCTGGTCCTGCTCGGCAACGGTAGCCGTGCGTCAAGCGAGCTGGCCAATCATGGTTGACCTTTTTCTATCTTTCTCCGAGTGCCGCAAAGGGTTCTCCGAGTTGCACCTTCCTTGCCATCCGGCAGATCTGACTCCTAAGATGGCTGTTACAGCCACACCTCCGAGCAAGAAGGATATGTCGTATTATAGAGCCTGAGCCTAATCATTAACACTGTATTGAGTACATTCCTGAGCTTGTCGACAAGGCCGTTTCCGAGCTCGCTTCTCCTTTGCATCGTCCCACCAGTTACAAGTAACACGGTCCTGAGTTGCGCTATCCTGAGCACACAGCTTGACACGTCCCCAACCCAATTTCATAGCAGCCAAGCTATGAATGTCTTGTAGAACCAGCCCCGCCCACGGGCATCGCTCGCGCGTGCCTGCCTGTCCGCCAGATGCTCCTTCTCCTCTGCGTCGAAGGCTTCCTTACCCGTAAACAGGTCTACCGTCTCCGGCGTATGCCCAGATTCCCGGGTGAACAGCTTGTACCCAAAGATCAGGATGAGGTAAATCGGGATACCGATATAGCCCGTAATGAAGGTATTTCTGTTCCAGTGTCCCCTCACGAATACGTCGAAGTTCTTGAAGAGCGCAATAATACAGCAGAATACCAGCGCCCCGACGGAGCCCCACATACCCAGGGGCGCAGCGTAGGCCATTTGTTCCTTGGTTACCCCCTGGGCCTTGCGCGCCCGGATGAACGAGATGTGGGTGGTGAGAATTGATATCCAGGTTAAGATACCGAAGATGGTGACAACGTTGACGAAATATCCGAACACGGTCGTTGAATTGTCCGAGACATTCAACATCGCAAGCAGAGTGAAGGGGGCACACGCGGCAAGGGCGTAAACTGGGACACCACGGTGGTTGGTGCGTGCGAAAATGGCCGGGGCTTTCCCTTCACAGGCCAGACCGTAGAGTGTCCTGGTGCAGATGTACAGATCCGTGTTTGAGGCCGAAAATACGAAGAGCAACAGTGCACCATTGATGATGTGAGGCAGTATCGGGATGCGAGCAAGGACAATAGCCACCACAAATGGAGAGGCCGATGCCCCGCCGCTCTGCTTCGTGGCAAAGGCCAGGTCCTTAGAATTGTAAGGCACCAGCATCCCGAGCAGGAAGATAGAGAGGACGTAGAAGCACGCGACCCGGGCGAACGTAAGCTTGACAGCTCGCGGGATCGTTTTGCTGGGGTTCTGAGCCTCTCCGATGGTTACCCCCACTAATTCCGTACCGAGATAGGAGAATGTAGCGGTGATAACCGTCGACCATACAGCCAAGAAATTACCCGTGGCCCCGTCTGTGGAAACAGCGTGAGGGTATGTCCACGCAGGAAGTCGGAAGCTAACTAACCATCTATGTAGGGACGAAATGCCCCGGGATCCTTCCAGTATCTGAATCCCTTCCGGTCATGGTCTGGACCCCCGCCAAGGACGAGAATAAGAGATAACAATATTAATCCACAGATGGTGATGACCTTGAGACCTAAACGCATTTTGATGAGATTTCGCTACTAGCAGCGGCCGTAGCCGTTCAAGAGGTACATACCAGATAGCCAGAATTCAAACTCGCCAAAGTACTTTATGCCGAAATAGTTGATAGTGATGATCACGACCATAAAGACTGCGATCCATACGCCTGGATTGACTCTATCTCGGTCAACCCAGTATTGAATGACTAGAGCTGCCGCCGTGAGTTGGTTAGGTGTTATGATAGCGTACTTCATCCTGTGGGAGGCAACAGGCGTCAGGAAAGGGTACGACACCATTAGCATGAGTCCTACCAGTAAGTCCATCCGAGAGCAAAACCTAACGCGGGATCGCAAAACCGAGACGCGTAGCCTGTAAACCCAGATGGCAGGGGAAGCCAGGCACCCATCTCCCCGAGCGAACACATGACCAAGAACATAACGAAGCCGACCGCTGTGTATGAAATCAGGATCGCGGCCGGGCCTCCTTTCGCCAGAGCTGACCCGCTGTTACACCGGAGTTGTCAGCTACGCGGAGACATGGCGACCCCGACAGGCATCCTCACCTGCCGATGACCAAACCCGTACCCAGAGCTCCGCCCAGCGCGATCATGGTGATATGCCTGGCCATGAGGCCACGCTTGAGAGCATGACGGTGGTTGGGGTCGATGTTGTCGACAGTGCCCACGAAACCCTGCTCCTGGTCCGGGCTGTCTCTCTTCTCGTCGGCAGAGTCGGATGAAGACGCGCCATCCGCGGCCTTTGCACTGGGGTGACTGCGATGCCAGACAGCCATCTCTTGCTGGGACAGAAAGGCGAGCAGCAAGAAGGGCTCTCTTCAAGCGTCGAGGGCGCTCTTTATTCTATCTCCGCCCTTGCCAAGGCAGATGGGACGAATCTTCTTCAAGGCACATTGGCGTTGCAGATGACGATCTTGATAAGGAAAATTGTGTCCCTCCAGGACTTTGGACGTGCCAAGAATCGCAACAGACGTGCTTTCCCCAGACCGCCAAGGCTGCTGCTGTCCTGTTCTGTTGCTGGCGCTATCGAGCACATGCCTGAGGAGAACGCAGGAAACGACAGCGAAAGACGGCCGGATCTTGCAATGGGCTGGTCCGCATCCGTACATCAGTGGCTGTGCTCCCCACGCGCAGGCCGACAGGAACGGAGGAGTGCTGTGGCGTGGCAGGAACTCAGCTTGCACTTGGTTTGCTACATTTCTGTGATGCTGCTGGCCACATTAATTTGTTGTCAGCGGTATCAACGATACAAGTACAGTAGGAGCGTGGTATGCTGAAGTCGTTACAAGGCTCCGGAATCCTTGCAGTAACAAGCACAGCTCGTGAGGTGGACATATACTACAGCTTGTGCTTGATCTCCTTGCGCGCAATCTTCTGAAACCTCTCAGCAGGTATCCCGCTGGCGAACCTTTCCGCCTGGGCATAGCTCTCTCGGAGGTTAACTGCGTCGGGGTCGTTCTTATCGTTCAAACCCTGCCGCAGGAGCCTCTTGACGGTAAGAAGGGCTGTGGGATCGAGCCCGTCTATGTGGTCCAGAACTTTTGCACGGACGGCAGCATGGAAGGATGAGACCTCTTGTTGAGGGAAAATATGACTGGGAAGAGAGTATTGGATCGGGTGGCCTGTCGCTCAAAGCTCAGGGGACATCACAGACTCACTTGATGAATCCGCATTGAAGTAATTCCTCTGCGTTCTTCTTCCGGCCCCAGAGAAGCACTTCATTCGCTTTCGCCAGTCCCACTGATTCCGAGTCATGTTATCGAGGCAGATATCTACTCGGAGGGTCACTCACTTCGATTCACGAAGCTGACGCTCGATCCCCCTTCGGCAATTATGCCTTGTTATGCAATTATCACGTTCTGGTGTATCATAGATTATGCGAGTCTCACTTACCCAGGAAGGTAAAGGGTACGGCTAGCCATGCATTTGGCATACAATATATGAAGTCAAAATACCCAAGGAAGGCTATATGCGTGCAATCGCTTCATGGACACCTAGAGAGACAAGGCCGAACATACCTGCCGCGATACCTGCAACCAGTCACGCTTCATGTTAGCACCCGACTCTAGGTAACGAAGAAACAAACATCTTCACCCAAGACGGGTCCGTTTAGGGCGGCTATCAGCACTTTCCTATGAGAGTAGAGCTAAGACCCGCCCAGTCAGCGCTCCATTTTAGCGATCGTTCCAGCGGATACTCACTGCTTGCCCGCAGTCTGTCGTTGTTCGTGTAATCATGGCTAAGAATTGTTCACGGACGGTCTTCGCCTCCGCCCGGGCTGTAAGACTCTCCTTCACATCAGTACCCCTATGCAATAGCCGGTTGAGTGCTTAGTCTCAGCTGCCACCCGGGACAGTGCACCCACGAGCAGAACCAGTTCCCTGTGGCTAACAAAAGTAACTCCATATTAGCGCCGCCTGTATCTCCGCACCCCATATATAGGCGCATACCTTGCCAGATAGTCACATACACATCCTCTCTCTTGTCGATATCCCTGAGGGCCTCCGCAAAGAACGCGTAATCTGCGTGATCAATCAATAAATGGTGCTTCAACTACAGATGTGGCGTTCCAGAACCCGAATTCCGTCTTACCTGCCGACGTTATGGCATTGAGACTTTGGGGCCGATTGAGCGTTATAGTTGCTATGCCTTGGGAGATGTTAACGGTGATAGTGCTCATGCTCTCGTTAGACCATGTATAAGAGCCAAAGCAACAAGCATTGGCGTTCTGTATCCGAGAACTATTATCATGTTACGGTCGTCGTTCCGGACAAGTCGAGTTGCCGCGTACCGGAGGCGCGCTGGCTCACATGACCCTCGTGTCCCACGCTCATCATTGGCCAATGGGAATGGGAGCCACACTACAGTATACAGCCCCAGATTGAATGAGTTGGGTATGAGGTCGTAGCACAGACGAAGAAAGCCAACGATATACAGCCTCTAATCCAAGAAAAGAAATGTATACAATATCATGAATTCGAAGGGCCCTCCGCCCATGCATCCAGAGCCTTTCTCGCCGCCGTACCCACAATCCCGCCAGTTTTCTCACTGGTTCCCTCCGCGGCAGATGTCCGCGCAAGCGACTCCAGGATCTCTCTAGTAGCAGACTTAACCCGCTCTACATCTGCCGTCCTGTCGTCCTCCTCACTCACTTTTCCTTTTTTGCCCAGCTGCCCGAGTAACGAGCAAATGTTTGCGCGCACCTCCACGGGTATAAGGGGGAGACTCTCAGGAGTTTTCAACACCGTAACGAGCATGTCTAGTGCACGTGTGGGCCCTCCCGCTGCAGGAGATGATGCAGCGCTCGTGGTCGATGCTGAAGTCGGGTTTGACGACGACGAAGGGAGCGATTTCGCCGCAAAAGACTGGCGAGGATTGACCTCCTGCGGTAGAGGATTCAAGAGGGCATCAAGCACGATCTTGCCTGTTTGACATATCAGCCTCCCGCATCGCATGATAACTATCTTTACTAACCACCTCCGGGGAACATGCTGAGCAACGTCAGCGCCACCACCCCTTCGTTGATCAATATGGGATATTTTCTACTCCGTCCGATAAGTTGTGCGAGGGCGGCAGCCACGTCGGGATTTATCAGAGCCGTTCTAGCTTCTTGTTTCCGCTCTGTCATCTCGCCTGAGCCTCCCTCGGTGGACCAGAGGCTCTTGATGACTTGCACGAAAACACGAGTGCCTTCACTCTTCACTGCTATCGTGTCCGAGCGCCGTATTAAAGCCAGTATTTGCTTAGCACCAGTCTCTTCAGGACTTATCCCTTCGCTGGAGAGTACAAGATGGCAGGCATTCTCCGCTAAAGAGTGATTGATCAGACACGGCATTACAGAAGGGGGGGACAAAAGATCAAGTGTACTCACCATTGGCAGTACACAAATGCTTCGCTACACCAATAGCAGAGGCCTCTACAATCTCTGCAATATCGGACTTCTCTCCCCACACCTGGGACTGTGCGAGCTTTTGCAACACACCGGCCTTCCCTAGTGAAGGTCTGACCCGTGGTGTGTGTGATAACTGTTTCAGTAGTCCTACGACGCCGTGTTTGACCTTGATGTCAGAGTCGGGCTTCAACATGGAGAGGAGATCGGGGACAATGGAGATAGGAGCTTCCACGAGTGACACTGCGTGGTGCTCTTGATGAAGACAGAGAAACTAGTCAGTGACTCTCAGTGGGACCGCGAAATTGACACTCGTACCTCGTCGAAGAATATTCCCCAGACTCAGCGTCGAGCAAATAACCAGGTCATCCCTCGCGTCTGATGTCCGCAAGTCCTTATGCTTCCTAATCCACGACACCATCCTGCCGACGAACGAGTCATCACCCGCTCCTTTCTCCCACAGGACATCCTCATTCTTCTCGTCCCCCGCTACCTCCACAACGGCCTTGATCAAAGCAGACTTGAACATGTCAAAGGCGCGCGCCTTCTTGAAGCGCTCCTCTTCCGAGAAGTCAGAAGCCCATGCCGACGGATAGTCCCCTCGCTCGATGAAATCTAAGAGGACGCCTAGACTTGATAAACTGTCGGGCGTGCTGTCTAGGTTCATGCTCCGTGCAAAGGCAAGGCGGATATCCTCGACATCTAGAGCAAGCGCTTCTATCAAGGATGACACTTCCTCCAGCGACTCAAAATCGGCTTGCAATAGTGCTCGTCTGGTAGAAGAGGCCTCTGGCATGGCGAGGGCACCGCTGGGCGATCCATGTGGAGGCACGAAAGTGAGAAGCGGGCTCACAATGAGCGGCAAGACATCCGGATTGAATGTCTGTATATCTGGGAAAGCGTGTGTAAATCAATTGTCTAGGTTGGCCCAAGATGGACTGCTTACTATCTTCTCTTAATTCCGAGATTGCTCGCCACGCCCAACTGGACAAGCCACTCCGCAGGTTCCAGGACTCCAGGAATTCCTGGTCTGACGAGTCCGCACTTGGCTGCGAGGCCATCCATGATCCTGGCGGGTATATAGCCGCCGATAGCCGTAATATTGTTATTGCGGCTTCTAGCGATATCAGACGCGACTTGACCGGTTCTGAAGCACGTCAGGTTCAAGATGGATATTCGCTTTAATATACATACCATAATCGATACTACAGTTCAACAGTACTCCAATTGCTGTCTTGATTAGCTTCAAGTCGGGGATACTCAGAGGTGCTGGGTCGGCTCGGTGTCTGCTTGAGGGTATCGACTCTGTATAACCTTCTAACAAAGAAACCACGGTCTGAGGGAATCCTGCCTCTAATAGGAAGCCTCTATTGTCATCTGGAGGGAGGGGTCTGCCGTCTGACCCTGAGACTATGGGAGCATGACTTGACATACCATGGTCCATACATAAATTTGCGCCAACCCGCAGAATCTCGTACACGGCAGCTGTGCGGCTTGGGTCTGGTGTGGACTCGCCGATCGCGCTTTTGAGCAGGGATGTGAGGGTTTGCGGTAGTAGGGTCTTGCCCAGAGCCGTATGACTGTCCACTGGTGCCAGAGCATAGGTATTAGCATGACAGAATTGCTAACGTCGGATTTAGTAAATGATATCAGTTCCAGTGCCTACGAACGGTCCAAGACAACGCTCCTTGAACCGAGCTGGATCGTCGAGTGACGACCACAGGTCGATGCAAGAGGGGCTGCAAAGGAGACGACTCCCCGGAAGCAGGGGTGCGGTGCGAACATCTGTCCCGAGCTTTGGTACATGATGCATGATTCTTCTAGTCTCTGGGGTCAAGGGTTACGTAGAGATGCCAGACCGGGGGATCCATGGCAGTTCATCATAGGGGAAGCATGAAACTCACCGGGTCCGCCCTTGACTCTGAGGCCGTTCGCGAGGTTGCGCGCGGTTACTTCGATCTCTTGCCACTGGCCGTCCTGAGCCAAAGGCAGCTGGGCAAAGAGATCCCCCAGCTTCCTCGCAGCCCGGCGGCAGTCATCAGCAGTGGGCACGGCGGTCGGACTGCTCATGTCAGGAGGAAGATACGACTTAGCGGAAAGGCTGCAGTAGGAAAAAAACCAGGGACGTGGTACTGCGCTGGGATAACAAAAAAGACCAGGAAGCGCGGTAGGGCGGCTCCAAATGGCTCGGATTTGGTGGAATTCCAGGTCAGAAAGCACAAGGGAATCTCCACAGATCTAAGCGCCCATGACCGATCCGCCTTTATGTACTTTGTGGCTGTGTTGTTGCCTGATCGGGAACCTTGCCGAGTTCCTTTCCTTCGTCCTCAGGTGTTGGAATTCACCAGAGGTCGTCGATGTGTCTTTGCAGCAGTACAGCTCGAGAGGGAGTACCTCTGTGGTTGTATTCTTAGCCAAGCAAGCGCACAGATAACTGTGCCCTGGAGTTGTGGATGTTCAATAAGCGCTGCCAGGTTTGCCTCCGAGTCAACAGCCACCGATATCACAACTCGAATCCGGTCCATCTTGCATCAGCACAAAGCCTAGCACCCTCTACAGCCACTGGTTGTTGCAATTCGCTGCGGTGAATCAGCATATGGTAATAGTGCTAGGGATATTCTAGTTTTTGAGCGGCTAACGTATCCTCCGGAGCCGGGCCTGCGCTTTGTGGCGTTGCTCGAGCTGGCTGCATCCATTCAACCAATCCGACTCGATCAAATTTTGAGGTACGCCGTGAATTAAATGGACTCACCTCAGCCAGAAAACTGTCTTCCTAATCACCAGCCCCATCCGATCTTTCCTCCTGATGCCAGTTTCCCGTGATCTTCTATATGGACTGTGGCACGGCTTATTCCTGCTATTTCGTTCATGAAAGATTTCTGGATAGCTGCCCACGCTGGAAATGGGCAAATCCTCCGCTTCAAGATGCTTGCACTTCATCGCAGTCCCTGGCGACGCTGTAACCCGTGGGCCGTGCCATTATATTACCATACGGCCGAGGGTTGCAACCAGCACATGCTACCATCATGGTCCTGCACTCTCTGCCCGATGTCGATTTTCCATAAGTGGATACATATCGACTCGAAAATCTCAAAGCTCGTCACTCTTACAATTTACACCATCTTACACCTTGTGTTACTCCTACTCGTACAGACTTGCGCATACTCCGTTTGCCTGACTTGCCCTCCATTTTCGCGGAACTAACCTTACCTCCAGTAAGTCGGCGCCTGCGGAGTGACCACGTTCCACGCCTCATCGAGCGCATTCAGCACCTCCTCCGGCAGCGGGCCCTTCTCCGAGTCCGCACAGTTCATGTCCAGCTGCTCAGCGCTGCTCGCGCCGAGGATAATCCCGTCCTCCGGCGTCAGCGCCGAGTGGTGCTGGCACCACCGCAGCGCGATCTCCGTCAGGCGGAGGTCATGCTTTTCCTACACAGTAAGTGGTGTTTCAGCATGAGAAAGTGCAAGGGAGGGATAGTACATGGGGCATGCAAGACTCACGGCGACGGGCTTGAGGATGTCCAGGGCCTTGAAGTAGCCCTCTTTGAAGTACCGCTTGCGGTACATCTCGCCCATCTTGGAGTTCGGGTCGAAGCGCCCGCCTTTGGGCGCGTCGGCAGATGGGTTCGGGACCTTGCCTGCGAAGAAACCGCCCCTGCACACACGGGACAACACTGATTAGTCCTGGTATAATGTGCGAGAGGGGGGCCCGTACGCAAGGGGGTTGTAGATCACAATCCGGATGCCATACTTCCGGCAGCAGGGGACCAGCTCCGACTCCATGGCCCGCGTGATGGCGTTATACATCCTATAATAGGCCCAGCGTGTCAGACAGTGTCAAACAGGCACCCACAATTGACCAGAGAAAAACAATAGCGCGGACTAGTACTACTAGCCCACACAGGCGCCTAGCGGGGTACTTACGCCTGGTATATCTTGGGCTGCACCCATCCGTTGGCCCTGCATATTCCCACAATCTCGGCGACCTATCCAAACGGCGACTGTGAGTCGCCTGTGTGAAGTGGGGTAAAATTAGCAAGCGCACCTCCCACGAAGCGTAATTGCTGAGGCCGAAGATCTCGCTGCGTATAGAGGTTAGCTTCCGACGGCGCTCCTTTATCGATGGGACGGATAGTGGGCTTACAAGAGGCCCTCCTGGTGCAGCTTGTTGACTTCCCGGCAGGTGTCCTCGAAGGGGGTGCTGCGGTCGGGGGCGTGGAGGTAGAGCACGCGGACCTTGCTCTTGTTCAGAGCCTTCAGGGATGTGGTGAATGTGGCCCGGAGTGCCGAAGGGCTGTGGTCCCCTGGGTTGACGGGGTAAACCCTGCGAGTAGGACAGACGTAGTTAGTGCGGCGACTTGTACCAGTAATCAGAACGGCCAAGCAAAGCTTACTTGGTGTCGATCGTGGAGCCCTTGAGGTCTAGCTTGGAGAGGTACTACAGATCAAGGTACAGGTGAGTATATAGTTCAGTAAGGAGAGATGACCCATGTGCTCACTTGCTCGGTGGTGCCTTCGGCGTACATGCGGGCGGTATCGAGCTCCCGGTGGCCATACTTGAAGTAGGTGTCAAGGATGGCCTGGCACTCGCCCAGATCGGCGGTGCGGACGCCATTCTTTCCCGGGGCGCCCATGGTCATGGTGCCCTGAATAATGATTCGTCAGCCTGTCTCAGTGTGGAATCAAGTCGGCACTGACAAACAGCAAGGGAACGCGAGGAGCCATGGTGCGATGGCTGAAGAGACGAGAAACGGCGGGCGGTCGAAGGAACGGAATGGTGGAAGACGACAAGCTCGAGCAATTATTTATGGTGGGAGTGACGACGGCAGTAATAATCATCGAGGTCGTGACATTGGATGTGTGGAGAGATAAGATAAAGTGAGGATCTAATCGATCGTCTGCGACTGCGCCACACACCCAGTCTTCCGCTCCCCATGGGTTCCAAGCGCAACAAGCTCAAGAAAGCGCTCTCTCCCACCTCCCACCCAGACCCCAGCCCTCCCGACAACATGGCGGACGAGGACCTCATGGACGAGCTGATGGCCCAGCTCGACTCCAAGGACGAGACGATCCAGAAGGAGTCTGCAAACGTGCTCAACGACATCAACGTCAACCAGGCCGCGCAGTCTCCGCCTCCCGCCCAGCAGAAGAAGGACCCCAAGAGTCGCTACCAGGCTCGCCAGGTGGGTACCATTCACCTGCCATGTCAGTAGACCGCGCTCCATCTCGTGAATAGGCCCGAAAGGCCGCGGCGCTGGTCGAGCAGTACAGCGGGGACAACGCCGAGAACGATGCCCGGATAGAGCAGGAAACCAAGGAAGAAGAGGCGTCCATCAAGAAAGTCTGCGACGAGCTCAACCTCGAGATGCACGAGGCACGTACGCCCTTCCCGCCGTCTCCATATCTCACCAACCACCCGTGCGGCAGATCAACCCAGACGGCCACTGCCTCTTCTCCGCCGTCGCCGACCAGCTCTCCATCCTCGGCATCCTGCCCTCCTCCCAGGCATCCTACGCCACCACTCGCGCCGCCGCCGCCGACTACATCGCCGCCCACCCCGACGACTTCGTCCCCTTCCTCCCCTCCGCAGGCGGCGAGGATGCCCCAGGGGCGGGCGACGCAGGCTTCATGACGCCCGCGCAGTTTCAGCGGTATTGCCACGACATTCGCAGCACCGGCGCCTGGGGAGGCGAGCCAGAGATCCTTGCCCTAGCGCGGGTGTACAATGTGCCCATACATGTCGTTCAGAGCGGCACGCCGCCCATCGTCGTGCATGATCCAGCCGGTACACCCGGGGATCCGTTCGATAAACATGTCAAGGCCGTTAGGATCAGTTACCACCGCAGGATGTACGGTCTCGGCGAGGTAAGTTTTGCCTGAAAGTCCAGTCTCTTCTCTTTGCTGAATTTTCTGTTGTTAGCACTATAACTCCTTACGTCCCAAGAGCAGCATATCCTCCAAACTGTCCGACGCAGTCGACAACATCCTGAACCGTTGACTTCTTAACTCCGATTTTGGGCGGAATGGCATATACGATAACATAGTAATCCGCATATAATGTATCCAAGACATCAAAGCAATATATATCTGTAACCAATATCATTACACTATCTGTTACTCAAAACTACGGTCAGAACAGCAAATCCTCCTCCTCTCCCTTCGGCCTGGGATTATCCGCCGAGTACCCAGACCCTCCCAGCCCACCCAGCTGATCCAGGCCCGCATACGGGTCCGCAGCCGAATCTCCCTGCGCAGCAACCGGCGGGCTCAAAATGCCCTCCTCATCGTTCTCCCCGTCCTCGCCGCCAGCGTCGGCGTCGTCCGCGCCGTTCGTTGGGAGCGGAGGCGCAGGCTTTGCCGGTAATGGAGGCTCTGCTTTGCGCGCACGCGGTTCGTTGGGACCCGGGCCGGGGATGCTGACCGTCGGCGGGAGCTGGTTCCGCGTTAACGGTACCAGGACGGCGCGAGAGTTCGCGTTCAGCGCCGGCGTGTCCGTCAGGGCTCTTCCAGCCGCATTCCGAATGAATGTCTGCACCAACATGAGCGAGATGTCTTTGGTGATCCATGCACTCCAAGACGCACCTCGGGATTCTTGTGGTAAATACTCCCCAGCGTACCCGTGTGCAACAAGAGCTGGTCCAAAGCCCCTCTATCCATCCTATCGCTATCAGTCGTAATCGCGGGCTTCTCGGCCAGCACGATCTCCCCCGCGACCGTCGGGTTGATAGCCAGCAAACGCCAATACATGAACCCCCGATCACGCAAATCGGGGTTATCCACCTCTTCCGTCGCCCACTTCAGCACGCGGTGGACCAGCTCCTTGGCCTTCTCAGACTTGGACCGGTAAATGAACAGCTTGACCGACGCCGTGAGAAGGGCCAGTTGCACCTGTGGATTCATAGGTCAGCCTAGATTAGTCAAGGACCAGAGTAACTACGAACCTCAACCGGCTCCTCCAGGAACGTGTACACCAAGTCGTCCATCAACTCGTCTGCATTGTCCATCCGATCCGCATACTGTCCCACAATCCATATCATGGCAGCCTTCGCCTCTGGCTCGTCCAGGGCGTCTAGGTGCTCGCACAGCGTAGGAATGATTCCCTCATACCTGCCCGGGTACCGCCGGAATATGTCCTTAATGACAATAACTGCCTCCTGGACGACATACGTGACGTTCGTCTCGATGAGATCGAGGAGGGCTTTGATGCACAGGTCCGCTGCCGGGTCCACCTTGATTGCCAGCCGACCAATGGAACGCACGGCCTTGCGCACGAAGTCGACATCGACCTCCGACGCATACTCTTGCAATTCGGCCAGCACTTCCTTTGCGTTCTCCTCACGCGCCAGACGGTACATGATTTCCAGTTTGGCCAGCTTGACGTAGATCGGGTCATTGTATTTGCAGAAGAAGACCTTCACGTCGTTCCGAAGTACCGCTGGCCGACGCTGGATAATTAACAGGATATTCCGCAGGGCCACGTACTGAACTTCCGGGCCGGACGAAAGCAACGTTACTGTGCGAATATTGAATGAGGGACCGAGTAGGAAATTCAAACGTGAACGTAACTCGCCTAATGGAGGGCCCATTTTCTTGCAGATGTGGTCGATGAGCTTCCGGTTTTCCATGTAATTCATGAGATAGAGTAGGATCTTGATCGCGGTGAGCACTACAGCAGAATTTGCATGCGACAGCTGGATGAGGACACGCTCGGCCAGGAGTTCTGCGTCGGCGTGCCTCTCGGGGACGAAGCGCAATAAGGAGTCAAGGATGTAAATCTGTCCCCATCTGAAGTTGTTATGAACAAACAACGTCTTAGCCATCAGAATTGAAGAGACTCACTCTGAACTCTCACCGATGGCAGCAAGGAGCTTGTTGGCTATGGACAGATTGAGCTTGAAGAACACGCCGTCCGGCCGGTCTCCAATCTCCGTCAGCGCCGCGACAGCGTTGGACACCACCGTGGCATTCGGATCCAGCAGCAAGTCCCTGAGCATCTCGACGAAACCTGCTTTCTCGGCCTTCCTGGGGTCAGCAGTGTAGACCTTGGCGACGCATATGGCGGCTGTTTTCCGGACATATGGGTCTCTGTCCTTTAGACAATGCCGTAGTTGCTCGGTTAGAGCCTCGGTGACCACTGGTATTGGGATATAGGACATGGTACGTATAGCCAAGGCTCGGATGAGGGGATTGCGGTCATTGCAGTCCTGCAAGTACAGATATAAGGGAAACAGAGAGTCTGCATCCAGTAGAGAATGACGTACTTCCAAGAACCTAGGAATGACCATATGTATCTGGTCTGGTTTCGACTTCCCGTAGCTCACGAGGAACAAATAGACCACTGATCATCGGTCAGCAGGGGCGGGGGGACAAGAGTAGCGGGTTGGACGTACTCTTCTTAATCTCAAGGAGCGGAGTTCCGAGACATTGCACGACGTCGGGGAATAGAGGCGACACTGTCATAGCTTCAGCGACATAATGAGAAGTGAATGATATAACTGACTGTCATTCCCCATCGTGATATTCGCGACAATCTTCTTCAGGACCGTCCTCCGCTTGACGAACTTCTTGTCCTTCACCTCGGCCGCTTGGAGCTCCGCGCGGAATTCCTGCATGGACATGGGGACTTAGTCTCTCCGTCCGTCTGTTCATGTCGGTGACGCCGTCCGCACCTACCTGGATCTTTCCCCGCTGGAAGAACTTGGCATCTTGACCCGCTTGCGTACTCATCGCGGAAGGCGTCAGGAAGGAACCAGTGGATGCTCCTCACTGTTCGGTGAACGCTACTGAAGCTTCAGAGCTTCAGCTGCAACCTGTGCAAGCTTGAGAGAGCGCGTCCGTGTCGTAAGAGTCCGTAAGGGTAATACGCTTCCAAATCGGGAACTTCTCAGGTCGCGTTGTCGGTCGAATACTGTACCATTTCGATCAATTCGGCAGGCGGTGTGACATGTGACACGTTTTATGGATTCGTCTCGGTTTGTCGATTCGTCAAGTTGCTATATATGGTGCGAAGTGGCGCCGCAGGCAAGCTCCGGATACCTGATATAGAAGGTCTCACGGTCGGAGAGGTCCTGTGACCTGTGACGCGCGCCAAATTTCGTCTTCGGCAGGTACCCCTGTGACCTGTGACTGCCGAATAGATCGAAATCATACAGTAACACAACCAAGAGACGAATACATTCGACTATCATCGGTGTCGTTCGCCTTCGCTGTATGGTCTTAGCAGTTATCATGCCACAGTCGACTACCAAACGTCTCCGCAGTGTTCCGAGTGTCGTCTGCTCTTCGCGAGCTACTTTGGACAGCGCTGCCTGCTCGGGTGTGGATTCGACTCTGAAAGATCTGAAGAGTTGCGTTCGTAGACTGCAGACTTCCCTCGCAACCCATGCGGAAGAGATGCAGTTATTAGAACGGCTGTACTATAAGGGCAAGAATCAGCACCGCTCAGCTCTTTTCTGGAGGCGTTTGGAAGAGGTTAGGAAGTACGGCAAACGTCTGCAAGAAATGGAGCTTTCCAGTCTCCTGGAGCTTCTGCGGTTCTCGTTCTTCGGTACGGCCGCTATTCAGAAGTATGTGCCAAGTCCGTGTCGGTGGTGGGGATCCACAATTGACTTCATGGATTCTCGCAAGCCCTAAAGCTCTGAAGGGATCGTGGACGCACTACCCTGACGCTCAATATTTGTGTTTCGTCATGGAGCGATTGTCGTCGTGCTCTCTCCTGCTCGATAAGGTATATAAACTATATATCCTGAACATCTTTTCCTTACCACATCGTCACAGACTCATACTAGGTTGTCGGAAGCATATCAGTAAGTCCGTCCCCGCGAGGCCACTGGCATGACCCTCAGACAACCCGCAATAGATTCTTTGTAGTTTGTATGCAGTCGGGATATTTCGTCCAATTGGTCCTCACCATTGCGGCGATCACGTCCCGACTTGACATGCTTACCGCTGATTTACGGGGGATCCTGGAGGACTCTTGCCGCGTCTCTGTCACCCTTCTGTCTTTGTTACACGTAAGTCTGGTCGTTGGAAGGTGTTTCGTGGGATTCTTATAGTACCACAGCCCAACGATTCACCCAATATTAATGTCTGCGGCGCTATGAGCTCTTCACTGGGAACTCATATTGCAGACCGTGCTCGGTTACCTTCATCCGCTGACCACCGCCGCGCCAGCGCTCCTCCAGGAGATATTTTGGATGAGGATCTCGGGGCACCAATCGGACTGCCAATGAATACGAGCTTCGATAACGCGGTTGCCGGAGGTGAAGACCTGGGTACTCCAATCTCGCGTACGGATTCTCAGCCGCCTAGGTCGAATCGAGCTGCAATCCCTTCTAGTTCTTGGTCCCGAGACTCTTCGCGAGCTTCCACCGTGGCCTTGAACTCTATAGAAAGCATGAACCGGGAAGATGAGGCCAGGCCCGCAAACGCGGATGCCCAGTCTTTCACTCCGCTGCCGAACCTATCAAAGTCTCCTTTGGAACAACCGTCAAGTGAGGACGGTAGCAAGACGTCCGCAACGGCTCAAACGACTGCAAAGGCGCCATCGAGCTCTCGAGGACCCGCAGATGGTATCAAGAGGAAGGCGAAAGATAGCAAGCTGGCGAGCACCGAACAGCCCAAGAAGCGGAAGAAGAAGAAAGACGAGATAGATGAAATATTTGGCTTCTAAGCGTAAACTCGCATTACGCTCCCTGCTTGTGATGCTAGCGGAGATACTTTATTCGAAGGTACAGCTAGCTGCTTATGTGCGATAGTCAGGCTTTCGGCCGGTGTGGTCCTTTGTACTAGACGGTCATGGACGGTTTTACGCACTCAGGGAAGGCACTATGGCCTATTCCTCCGTCGCTCTCAGCCCTCAATTCACTCGGGAGCGTACTTCCCATGCCCTAACTTGTACAGTACTCGAATAACCGCACTCCCTCACATCCACACGTAAAGCCTCAACAAATGGCTTCGGCGGGGATTGATCGGGTTTAAAGAGGTACGCAGTCTCTCATCTTATCAAGTAACGTGACGAGCCTACTTATATATTGTACTCATAAGAGCCTTAGGGTTGCAATCCACAGCTCAGCCATGGTCTACGGTCAAAACTCGTTCTTCCCCCGCGAACTCCTCACCCCAACGACGCTCGATGACTGGACTCGGGAGGCCAACTTCCAGCGGGCGCACCTCATCCGGGACGATGAAGCCCTTGACTGGGCTATGAAGAATTGCGAGGATAATCAGCTCCCCGACATTAATGTAGAACCTGCGCAAGGGAAGTTCATGAGCCTGCTGTGTCAGGTGGTGGGCGTCAAGAGAGTTGTCGAAGTCGGGACTCTCGGAGGGTCAGTGATTATAGCCTTTCTCTGGCCTTGGAGCGAATTGGAACCTTAACGGCAACTGTTCCACAGATACTCTACCATTTGGCTGGGCCGCGGCGTCCCCGAGGACGGTAAAGTCATCACTATGGAGATCAGCCCGAAATATGCCGAGGTGAGTGACATGCCCCGCCCTCTCGTTATTGCCGTGGTTCATTATCGTGCCCCAGGTTGCGCGACAAAACATCGAACATGCCGGTCTCTCGCACAAGGTGGACGTCCTCACAGGCGCGGCCGCTGACGTGCTCCCGACGATTGGCCCCGACCACTCCTTCGACCTCATCTTCGTCGACGCTGACAAGAAGAACAACCCCACCTACTACCGAGAAGCCAAGCGTCTGGTGAAGAAGGGCGGCATTATTGTATGTCACCGCCGTCCAAGATGGCGTAGCACATCTGAGGCTGACTCCAATCGCAGATCGTGGACAACGTCGTGCGGAATGCTCGAACAAGTAACATGTCCGTTCAGGGCGCTCCCGACATTGACGGTGTACGCGCACTCCTGAAGATCGTGAAGGATGACAAAGAGGTAGATGCGACCACACTCGGGACGGTTGGGGAGAAGGGCTATGATGGTTTCATGTTCTGCCGGGTTCTCCCATAGGAGCAGTGCATCGCGGGAGTGACAGTTCGACAGTTTGTACCAAGTAGAAGATTGCTATGTATCTTTACCTGATGGTGACAGGAGCCATGCAATTAACGTCAGATGGACTGACTGAATCAGGACCGGCACCCATGATTGACATGATTCATGATCATCTGGCGTGTTGCAGCTCCCTTGACAGAGAACATATCCCTCGTGTCGATATATACTTGACGTCGAGGAACCAGGTACATACACGAAATTGGTGGAGTCAAGAGAGCTTTATTGCTTTCAGACTACTATTCAGCAGTGTGGGAGGCTGTGGCCTTCTCGCATGCGAGAGGAAAGTAAAGTACTAAAAAGGGGTAAAACGGCGGGATCACGAAGAGAGGAAAGCGAATTAGCGCGATAAGAACAGTGTCCGAGAGAGAGCAGCACGAAAGGCTAACGAGATACAACAACGAAAAGTTATATGCAAGCTGATATCCTACGCGTTGGTATTCTGATCAGAGTCCGAGAGTGCGGTCGAGAGAAAAATGTCCAGTGCCACGTCCAGAGTCCAAGATTGTCCACGAAAGCTACACACCCGTTATTTACAGCAGGAAGAAGGCGGCGAGACCGGCCGAGAGGGCGACAGCTGCGCTCGAGGATGCGAGCGAGCGAGCACCGCTCGTGTGGGACGGCGACGGCGATGAGGACGCGGCCGTCGAGGAGCCAGCGCCGGTGGCTGAGGGTGAAGAGGCAGCTGCGGACGAGCCGGCGTTGTTCATGACGGCGGTGATGTCCTGGGGCAGCATCAGAGGAGCGTCGCCACCAGCGCCAAGGTTGACCTGGCCGTTCGAGTCGATCGTCTCGGGGTTGGCAGCGAGGACGAGACGCGTATACATCACGTTCTCGACCATAGCCTGCTGCGCCCACGACGGCATGTTGCTCATGTCGGCGTTGGAGCCCCATGCAGCGGCAGCGGGAGAGCCGGCGGTCATGTTCTTGGTGTACGACCACATGGCAGCCATCTGCGAGTTGTTGGATACCATCGAGGACATCATGGAGCTGACGCTCATGTTGCTACCGGCGCTAGCCATAGGGGGGTTGATGATACCGAACATGCCCTTCTCGCAATGTCCGGGCGTCGCGCAGTAGAAGAAGGTAGGGTTCGTGTCATTGACAACCTGGGTAAAGACGAAGTCCTTGTTGTGCTCGCCGGACGTGAAGAGGGCGTTCTCGCTCTTGTTGCAAACACCGAGGGAAGTGCCCTTGGTGACGGTGTGGTTGTTGGCGCCCCACATGAATTTGATGGTGTCACCGACGGAGGCGTTCACCATGAAGGGAACGTAGCGAAGGACACCTTGCGTGGGGGCGACAACGACGGTGTGGGTAGCACCGGAGCCATAGCTGCCCTCGCTGCTACCAGTCGCCGTGGGCATGTAGCTCGCGGGCGTACCGAATTGGGCAATGCACTCTGACGTCGTATAACAGGTGAGCAGCGTTCTGCGACTGAGCTCGGCGTCACTCACGGTTAACGCAGTCCTGGTAGCCTGATCCACCCCAGCTGCTGCTCCCGGAACCGTATGACGCAGTGGAGTAGGCCATGGCGGTGGAAGTCGCCATGGCAGATGTTTCCATCATCGTCGACGTAGCCATCATCTTCGACTCGTACATGGAGGAGGAAGTGGCCATCGCAGAGCTGCTCTGGTAGTTGTTGCTGCCATAGCCGCTGTCGCTGCTGCCATAGCCGCTGTTGCTGCCGTAGCTGCTGTCGCTGCTGCCGTAGCCGCTGCCGCCGTAGCCACTGCTACCATAGCCGCTGCTACCGTATCCGCTGCTGCCAGAGCCGTAGCTATTCGAGGACGACTCGGTCATCATGGATTCCATAGCACTGGAGGTCGCGCTCTGGGAAGCATATGCCTGCTTATAGGCTGCAGTTTGCCTGGCACAGTGAATAGATAAATAACTCTTCGCCGCTGAATGAATATCGAAGGCGCGCTTACGAAGCTAACTCAGCGGTATCCGACAGGGGAATACCGTTCGGTGCAGACACAGCAACTTCCCCACCGATTGCGCTGTCAGGCATGGGTGCGGCGACAGCGAGGCTTGCGACGGCAAGACCGATCAAAGATTGGAAGAAAACCATCGTTGCGGTAGAAAGTCGAAGCTTGGATAAACAAAAATGAAAGTCGTTGAACCGTTGAGGTGACTGTCGGACGGGGCGCTGAACTTCCTCCCAGAGGGGTTGCAAAGGTGCGTCTCTATCAAAGAGGGTGATCTGCGAGGGAGAATGAGTACGATGCATTGCAGAGGCTGAATGTCAGGACACCCACCCCGAGTAGAAAAAATAGTCGAGAATCTACTCGACTAAGATAAGAGAACGAAAGCGAAGACGAAAGACGAAGACGAAAGCGAAAGAGAGACGGGGAGGAAGGGTGAAGAAAGCCAGGGGGGCGCGTCCAAATATAAGAGGGGCGTATGCGGAGACTGAAATCTGATTGGCCAGGTCCCATAGCGACGGCCTGCTCGATCAGGAAACGGGCTATGTTTAGTCCATCTGTGATTATCATCTTCTGCTGACCGCCTGCCATGGGTTCGCCCGCGACACCTGCAATACATGCCTGCGTCGACAGCTGGATCCTGCCTGTCGCTGATACCCCCATGCGATGATGGACACCACAGCTTTGGGGGGGCGACGTTGACCAGCAGCCCCCATCGCTCCTCGCAACGTCCTCGGGCCCAGTTGCTCGACTCGGACAGCTCGGTCGGCGTTGATTGAGCGCACATTCACAGTTGTCATTCGCAACCAATCCTTTCCCCTGCTAAGCGATTCTTCGTGTTCTGAAGGGTACTTCCTTTTCAAGCAAAATACCGGTCCTCATTTACAAATCTCTCACCGTCCGCCATCACTGTCCACTGGCAGCTCTTGATTCCATCAACTAACAGCAGATGACGGCACGAACAACATGCAAGACATTCATCTTCAGAATTGGGGGACGGCCCCGGGAGCGTCCAAGCTACACACCATGATTACATCCAGTGACCGAGAATGCCGACCTTTACAGCACCGCAGTCTGTAGTTCGGACCCGTACGGGGATTTGACCGACCATCAATCATCGTTGTCCGGTGGTACCATCAGTGTCGTGGGTACAAAGTACAAGTGTGTATCTACTGTCCACAAGAAAAGGTACAAAATACCTAAATCCTCCTTGGCCTCACCCCCGGTCCCGAGGGCAAACCAACCCTGGCAGGGCGTCTCTCCCCTTCAGCCCGAGGGTCATTTCTGTACTCTCTTCCCATAGGTACTTCATCTTCCGCTCTCGCGGTGGCACCCCGTTTGGCATCACGCATTGCCTTCAATCGATCAGTCGCCTTTGACGGCGCCGGCTGAGATGGGCCTCCGTAACGTCCTCGCATGGAAGAGTCCGATCTGTCATTGCGGGCTGGAGCAGGCACAGAGACGGCGGCGGCGGCATAGATATCCTTCAGTCCTCTGCTTCGCGACGGAGCAGCTGCCGCGACCTCTTCGTATTGATCTCTTTCCAGCGGACGTTCACGACGGGCGCGTGCAGGGCGTCGTTCGCTCTCGCTGAAGAGCCATTCCGGCAGATCAGCAGGGTCGCGTGCTTTCTCCAAGTGATATGCCTTCATTGCTCGCGTGAGACGTGACTCTTGTCCCGGAGGAGTTTCTGTAGAGCCGTGTTAGACGCCGAGTAGTGGGGATTATTGTGCATTAATATACCTTCACCGGCGAACGTAGTTATGTTCGCTGCCCAAGCTTTGCTCACGTTAATCGTCAGAGAACCCGCGGCATCTGCTACGCGAGACCAAAGCGTAGAACCGAATCCCGACTCTTGAGACTCATAGCCAGCCCGAGGTTCTGGTAGTCACCAACATGAAGGTCGGAGTAAACGCACAGAGGCAGATGCACGCACCATCCTCATGATCACCATCTCCCACATCTCTTCTGGTCATCGGCCGGGAGCTCAGCTTACTAGTAGCCTGTTTGGGCGGATACGGATCCGCATCCTCCTCTAAGCTGGTGCGCGAGGACGCATAGCCCGAGCGGCCCCGCATCCTATCCAAGAAAGACGACCCCGACGAAGAAACAGACGACATGGACGATATCGATTCCGACGCCGACGTCCGCGACTTGTACGAAGCGCGATCATCATACTCTCTCTCCCTTTCCCTTTCCCTTTCCCTTTCACGCGGAGCTACACTCCTCGCGCGGGGGTTGCTAGGCATACGATACGAGGGCGGCGCATGGCGGGATGCAGTGTCTCGCCCGCGCCCCTCATCGCTGTAGGACGTCGGCGAGGGCAGGTTCGCGGCGGAGCGCTGGGGCCGGATCGCGCGCGTGCTAGGGAGGGGAGGGGGCCTGCTTCCCGACCGGCCTTCGCGAGCATGCCGGTCTCGATCGTAATCGTCGCCGGCCCGCCCTACTGAGCGCGAGCGCGGCGCGGAGGGCAAGCCTGCGCCAGTCCGGGATGCATTGGGTCTCGAGGGGAGCATGCGGTGTGGTGGTTACCGAGCGGGGGATTGATGTTTTTGGGTTGAGTTGGGGAAATCCGAAGAAACGATGTGTACAGTCCGAGCAAACCAAGAACCCAAGATAAATCAATGGCGTCCAGACCAGCTGGTTAGAAGAAAGAAAGTAGAGAAAATTCAGACGTGGCCAGCCAGTGTCGTCGATGGTCGTGGTTGCAAAGAGGAGGCAAGGGACGCAGTGAGACTGGTTGACCCGGTAACCGATGACGCGCCGAATTCGTCCAACATGCTGCATCATCTCTCAGTCTGCAGGATGATACCCCCGAGCCGCTGATGCTGTGTCCAGTGTGCCCCAGAAAATGAGAATGTAGACCATTTGCTAGCTAGCTAATCATATCAGCTACATGGACAGACGCTGAGTGTGAGCTGTATGAGGCCCAGACCCTCATTTCCGCCGGTGTTGCAATATTCATCTGTACGCGGTGGTGCCGCGCATGTGATCCCTTCTGTCAGCGTTCTCGACCATGCTTCGAGCTACCTATCTTTCTACCTTTATTCACGGTATATGTTATGAACGTCAACAGAACGTCTTAACCGTCCCTGAGTGCTCTTCCTCGTGCCGTGCATTCAGCAGTCGCGTTCTTCGGAGGAGGTCCCTCGCCTTTCCGTGCTAGCAATGACATTGGAATGGTCGAAACCAGTACCCATTGCTTAAATGCTTTGCATAGCCATCTGAGACCAAAGTAGACCTCAAGTCCTCCAGAGGCTGAAAGTAAATCAAAACATACCTGGGAATTGCCACGTGATCGGCAGTTTTCTCAATTATGACGTGCTTGGTTAGGGTCTCCTGGATGTGGCTGAAGTCAGCGAAGCAAGAAATTCGGAATAGCTGGTGAGCATATATACCCTTCGCTGCCTAGGCCGACGACCATCAGGACACCCTATTCTCTCATTCTCTCATTTGCTGGATCTGAGTTATCTGAGCTATGCTGTCGATCAAGAGGACGCTGAACGGCCTTTCCCAGGTCCCTGCAGGTACTCGCAAAGTACGATGGGCGCATACTGCCTCGGATAAGGACAAGTATAAGATTATCGTAGTGGGCGGAGGTATGTTCCGGCATCTCCGGACTCCGGGCGATACTCAGACTAGGCATATGCCAGGTTCCGCTGGTTTGAATGTTGCGAACCAAATCTTTAATCGCTTCCAGTCGGCGGGGAAGGCCTTGAATCCGCAGGACATCGCAATTCTGGATTCAGCCGACTTCCATCACTATCAAGTGCGTAACATTACGGTGGCATGTTGTTTTCCTTTACTGACCAATCCTTTACTTAGCCTGGATGGTTAGTGTGTCTTATACGAATAGTTAGTTGCGAGCCGAGGGCACTGATCGCGTGCATACTGTACTAGGACCCTAGTTGGTTCTGGTCTGAAGCAGAAGACGGAACTTCGGCGACCGCTCAAGTCTCTCATCCCTCCGCATTTGGCCCTTATTCCTGAGAATGTGCAGACCTTTACCCCCCAGTCCAATTCAGTGACGACTACCTTGGGTCGCACCTTGTCGTACGACACTCTCGTTGTAGCCACGGGGCTTAAGATCAACTACAATGCTATACCTGGATTATCCCAGGGGCTTGCTGACCCGAACTCCGGCGTCTCGACTATCTATTCTTACGACACTTGCGACAAGGTGTGGAGGGACATCGACACACTCCGGTCCGGTAAGGCGATATTCACACAACCCGCGGGGATCATCAAGTGCGCTGGAGGTATGGTCTATGGCTCCGTGATTGTCTGATCGTAGCTAATGCTATGTTGGTTAGCGCCTCAAAAAATCATGTGGATGGCTTGGGACCGATACCAGAGGACCGGGCGCGGCGGTAACGTCCAAGTCGAGTTCTACACCGGCATGCCGAGCATGTTCAGCGTCAAGAAGTATTCTGATGCTCTAAATGAGCTCCGTTTGCAGCGGGGGGTCCCTGCTCTCTTCCAGCACAATCTAGCCTCCATCGACGTTCCGAACCACAAGGCGACATTCAACAAAGCCGACGGCTCTACTGCTACCGTAGACTACGACATCTTGCACGTCGTACCGCCACAAGGGCCGCTTGATTTCATGAAGGGACAGCCGATTGCCGATGCAGCCGGATGGGTTCAAGTGGATAAGGAGACGCTGAGACATGTCAAGCCCGAGTACGGCAATATATGGGCTCTCGGCGATTGCTCATCGCTCCCCACCTCCAAGACCGCGGCCGCAATCACCAAACAGGCCCCGGTCCTCACGGAGAATCTGTTCTCCGTCATGGACACCGGCAAACTTGGAAGTGCGAGGTACAACGGTTACACGAGCTGCCCAGTGAGTGACGTTTCGTAGCCTCGTGCACTGAGCCGTACCTGATGAGCGTATTCTCAGCTCTTGACCGGGTATGGTCAATTGATGTTGGCGGAGTTCAAATATGATCTGGTTCCCGAAGAGACGTTCGCGGAGTACCTGGGCGACCAGTCCAAGCCCAGACGGTTAGTCTGTATCCTTTTGTTTGAGACCGCTTCTCTGACTCTCGATCTGTGATAGGTTGTATTACCACCTCAAAAAGGTAATTAGTTTCCTGGCGCCAGGCTCTGAGTCACAGAAGGCTAATGGCGTCTCAACAGGATCTCTTCCCCTGGGTGTACTTCAATTACATGGTGAGTGCTAAAGACAGCTGCTACTAGTAATCTCACTGACATCCTTCCAGGTCAAGGGGCAGTGGTTCGGGACTTCGGGACCGATTCGCCCCTCCTTCCCGGCCGCGTTGGAGTAAATAGCTTTCAGCCATATGTACTAGTTTGCTGTATTTGCATGATCTTTGAATTGTTACCCGTACACATGCATTTCAAGGCTCAAGGTCGTTCTCGACTCACGGCGTAACTTCGTATGGATTTGCGTTCTTAGGTCCGCGAAATAGTTCATATACACAGACGTACTGCGCAAAGCAGGCGATAGGAGCCTCTTCGGCGAACCCGGGCGTGATTGGTACGTACCATGCTCTGCTTCGATACGTCACATAATATACAGACCAGCCCTCTTATGGGACGCGGTTGATGCATATGGTGGCCCTTGAAGCTTGAAGTTGGCTGAGTCGGGCACGACACTTGGGCTTCAATTACACACTTCACCGCAATGGATGCCGAATAACTCTACTTATTTCTGATGACGAGTGTCTAGTGAAGTACCAACCCTAGGGGATCGGGCGTTCCCGATGAGATAGTCTTGTGTAAGACAGAGGACAATAACACGGAAGCTTGGAGTAGCTGACAATTATGCTCCCCGATATTCTCCCTGATCACTGACGACAATAGACGGTCTGGTTCGGGGTGTAAACAGCCGCATGAATCCTCTGGTTAAATCGTATTAGGTCCCCGTTGTCGCGGACCCTCTGACAGACAATTGTAGGGTTGACGTTGGACCCACAGTCACCCACTTGCCCTGAGATTTCCCAAACCGGCGCTTGCCACGTCAGCCAATCCGACGCGAGAGAGCCATCAGGCTCACGAGACGCGTCGGGTGCCTGGGGACACGTGATATCTGTTGACTGCGGTCTTCGGGGTCCATGACGCGCCTTGCTTGTTGACCACGACCGCGTTGTGTATCAACGTGTCCCGTCCGTCGCCGTTTAGGCCACTATGTCGCGTCTAACAACGGCACAAATCGTCGAGCAAGGCCGCTACCTTGAACCCGACTTCGACCCGACCACTCTCACTGTTCCACAATTGCTTGGCATATTTGGTTACCACAATATCAGGTATCCTACGCCTTATACGAAGCCCAAACTCGTACAACTCTTTAATGAAGAAATCAAACCCCAAACTACTCAGCTGAAGAAGGAGAAACTGAAGAGGGAGAACAGTGCTGCTAGCGATGATGGTATAAAGGATGGCGTAACGGGAAAGTTGATCGGAGGAGATAAAAAGGCAAGTACCAGACTTTCAGCCATGCCTCTCATTTACATCGTCTTACATTGGGCCGCCTCAATGCTCTAGCCGCCCGTACGAAGATCATCCAGGCGTTTGTCTCGCCCACCTTCGCAGGATGAGAAGGAATCCTCCCCTCCGAGACCGGATCCCGTGAGTATCGTGATAACAGCTAGACTGATCTGGTCTTAACCTGCAAGGTGTAGCCTAAGCGGCGCCGCTCCTCCGCGCAACCTTCTCTAGGTGGCCCGTCAACAACTCGCAAGGCTATTGTGCTCGAACCCGCTGTAGCAGAAGAAAGTGAGCCCGAAGAGCTTCCTCCGCGCAAGATCAGCCGCAGCAAGAAGGCCGTGCGTGATCCTAAATCCTCATCTCTTTGAAACCCCCTTCATAATGGACTGTAGTCTGGCCAAAATGCGAAGAAGTCGCGTCCTGAATCGGAGACTGTACGTGCGCATATCTCTTACCTCATGCGACTACTCATGCGGAAGACGTCATAACTGTAGCATGCTGAAGACAGTGGCTGGGAGGATAATAACGTTTTCCAATCCGGAGCTGAGTCTTCGTCTCCGGCTAAACCCTCGCCGTCGAAGGCTAGAGCCCGACGCACTACTACGGCTCGTACCACGACAGCGCGAAGGTCGTCTCGTAAAGCTTCATCTGCACCTCCGCATCTCTCTCCGTCACCTCCGAAGCAAATTGTGGTACTTCCCGATCCGCCCCCCGAGGAACAACAGCCCACTCCCCCTTCTCCTCCCCGATCGACATTCGAGCCTGATCTCCCCTCAAGTATATTTAATCGTCCGAGGAAGTCCGGACTGCCGGCCAGGGAAGTCAAGGTGCAAATCCCTGAGACCCCACGAAGGTTGCAAGAACAGGACGTGGGGCCTTTTGAAGATCCCGAGCAGAGCATGATGCAAGTGCAGCATCAAGTGCTAGAAGACGAGCTCGATGATGAGGCCGACAACGCGGAAGAAGACGAAGACGAGGGGGATGAAACAGTTGCCATAGCCCGCCGTATATCTGGCGACGGAGATGTCATCCGTCACCGCCCGCCCCCTGCGAAGGAGTCTTCGTCGCTGTTGCTTCGCATTCTCGTGGCTCTATGTTTCTTGGCTGTTTCACCCGCAGTGTACAAGTATAAGACCGAGTCTGCTCAGATCGGTTTCTGCGACCCCGGCAGGGACACCAACGAGATTCTCGAAACAATGAAGACCCGCTGGGCTGCTATAGACGCGTGTCACAGGGACAACACAACATTCGTACAACTTCCTGCAATCAAATCATCACCTGAGGAAGGCTATAAATTGGAGAAGAGGGATAGCGAATTAGTTCCTTGCCCGCCTCCTGACCTTGTTCCCCTCCCTCATCCGACCATTTGTACTCCGTGTCCTGCGCACGCAAAGTGCAGAGGTCGTGAGATCGTCTGTGAGGACACTTACTTATTCCGTCCCCACCCTCTCCTGGCGTTCCTCCCTGCCCCTTCCGCTTCGTCGTCATCTGTTGTACAGGGAATTTGGCAAGTTATAGAGCTCGCCAACGGGCTACCTGGTATGGGACCGGTTGCGTTCCCCCCGAGATGTTTGGAAGATCCGAAGAGGAAGCGAAATATTGGAGTGCTGGGTAAAGTGATGGTTGCGTATCTCGGCCAGGAACGTGGAAAGAGGTTGTGCATGGGAGACGTTCACGATGTTCCGGATAAAGAAGGTGGTCAAGCCAGGACGTGGGGGTTGGAGATGGAGGAACTGAAAGCGATTATGAGAAGGCGACCAGGGGTGATGTCCGCGCGACGACGTGCTAAATGCGCCGCTAATCCTGGAATTCCTCAGGGTAAATCCATTGAAAATTTCGACAGTCTGTTTAATGAAGCAGTGGGTCAGTTAATTGAATGGGGCGGAGTTATCACCAGTGAAGACTCGCAGTAAGTTCGAAGTAACTTTCCGTCCCGCAGACACGTGCTGAGTGCGTTTGATGACGTTACAGGGGCCGAAAATATTTGGCACATAGCGAGCCCAATTTAGACCTGAGCTGTTTGATCAGGGTAAAGACGAGGGAAACTTGGCACGAATGGCAAGCTAGAGTGTTCGGTCAGTCCCACTACATGGTCTACATTGCTCGTAATTGACAGTCTTCTTCCCTACAGCTGTGCTCGCAACCGTCCTCAGCACCTTGTACTATCGCAGGCGCCGGGCAAGTCGCCAGGCGGAAGACAAGCGTGTGTCGGAGCTTGTCCCTATTGTTCTAGACGCATTGCGGAATCAAGAGCTCGCCCACCATACGGATCCCATCACCACCCCACACCCTTACCTATCTTCCTTGCAGCTACGTGACCTCATCTTGCAGGACGAACATTCGATCTCCACACGAACCCGGCTGTGGAATAAGGTGGAACATGTGGTAGAAAGCAATGCGAATGTCAGAGCAAACCTAGAAGAGCTCCCAGGTGGAGATGAGATGCGCGTATGGCGATGGGTTGGGAGCACGAGTCCTACTAGCCCTCGGGCAGTAGCGTCGAGGGATTGATGGGTCTAGGTCCATGCCGGGGGATCCATTATTATTCGAGTACTTATGAGCATGGCGAGCGACATTACCCCGACTGTTGGATATTTGCTTACAGGCTGCGCTCTTAGTGCTATGTAATGTGAACGTGATCTACTATGTATTCTATCTTCGACCAAATGCTGATGTCTTTCTGCTTCTCGTATGACGATCGAGGATCTACCGACGGTCGAGGCCTAGGCAACGCGGTACCGATAGCGTTATTCAAATTGAAAACACTGAAGTCAAGAGATCCACTGCAAATCCACGAAAGAGGAAGGTTGGGTAGGTAGACTTCTGTGCTAGTTGCCCTCCGGTCCTTCGCTTCCGCATCGAAACGCAGGAGGTAGGATCCCAGGAACTGGGGGCTTGCGCTGCTGTAGCTTCCCTCCCCCAAAGGTGCCAATCACGCGAAGTAAATAAGCTCTCATATGGAATCCTAGATGCATTCTTCACGCCCATTGGCTCATGGGTAAGCCGGTCTGGATTTTCTCTATAAGAGCCTTCTTCATAAACTGTTCTTCGGCTAGAACACGAGTGGTCTGGGCAATGAAACGTCCACCATCCCTGGTTTGAGTATCCTCGGAAACTAACAATATGACGGCACTCGACGTACCCTTAGAAATCTGTCCAGATCGATCCGACCCGTGTTTAAGGCCCTGTGAAGATGATAAATCGTGTCCTCTATAGCGTTCTCTTCGGCAACTAGGTTGATTAACCTATTGTTGTGCAACAGTTGGCCTTATGGCAAATTGTTACGACTTCAAGGACAGACTTACTGATTATGGACTATAGTGGTAGAGCACACTAGTTCGTCCACTTCTGGATCACCCTTCTTCTTTAGCTCACCAAGATTCATTTCGGCTTGCCCTACTACCGTTCTCAGACGGCCAGCTACCCCGCGGCAGACATCTTTCACCGCCTCCAGTCTAGCCATCTCATCTCGGATAGCCGGTTCACCCACCAACAGATCTCTCTGGTGAGCACGCAAGCGTTCCGCATCCAGAGCCATGGCTTGGGATAGTGACGCTAGTTCAGATGAAAACTTTGCATGTACATCAGCGTGAAGTCGCAGCAGCTCTGGGTTCATAGGACGAGGCGGTGCGTGACTAGGGGCTGGAACCGCATCTCCTAGTTCAACAGCAGGCTCTTCCAGGAGGTTAGGAGGTGGGGGTCGGGGTTCTGGCTGCGGGGGTGGCAGAGGAGAATACGACGGTGTAACTACGTTGGGTGCTACAAATGATGGAGAAACCTGAGGGGGGAGAGGACTCATCGCTAGGGGGATAGGATGTGCCTGAGAACCCTGGTCCGTATTCTGCGCATAGGTTGACACTTGTGAAGGAGGCAAGGACCATCGCTGGCTCGAAGGTGATGAGACTGGAGACATCGGGTTTATGGGAGGTTGATACATAGTGCTGCCAGACGGGTTCGTACTGTGGATCGACATACTCCGTTGATGTTGTGGCGAGGGCACAAACATCCCAGGAGTGGGCGGTGGACGAGGGGGCACGACAGGCTGGAGACGATGTTTATGCGGATTAGTGATCACACAGGACAGGGTAGAACTTACACTCATCGCTCTCTGAGGGGGGGCAAGCTCATGCTGTCCCGGCCATGGAACGCTTGCTGGCCGAGATTGTGGGTCAGGAAAGGATGCTCCGGGCTTCGGCGGTATTGGAGGAGGACGATGGTCATCAGAGTACCGGACCGTCGGTCTGTGACTATGCCTTTGCGACGCATCCCTCACAGGGCTACCCGGGGTGACAGGCGTCCTTGACTCACTCTGCTTCGACTTCGCATAGACAGGCGGCTCTCGGGAGAATTCGTCTTGCATTTCTTCCATTAAAGAGAGAAGATTGCAGGCCTAATGGGCTGGAATGTCAGCGTATTGAGTGCCAAGCATTTATCATGCGACAGGCTCGTACCTCACTCTTCCTTTCCCAGTTCTGAATATAGGTGATATTGCACTTCCCGCTGACGTCCATGTATTTACCTGCCTTGACCAGCATTTCACTTGTCGGGACGACATAAACAAGCGGAGGTCGGCGAGGAAAGTCATGTGTTATCCATATGGCTATCGGTATATTGTAGGACGCTTGACGGAATGTGATGGGCAGTAGACCATGGAGACAGAGGAGCAGTTGTGTCCGCCCATCGTCAAAAGCTGGACCGCACCATGTATGAGTTAATCGATTGCAGTACGGCGAGCATCAGTACTGAACTATAAACGTCTGTCTTGGGTCTGATGGTTGGGAAGCGAGAGAGAACAGCGTTGGCATCCGCGTAGACGCGGTCACGGCCTGGATAAGAGTGCACATTCTGCCGAAGCCATTTCTGCGTCAACGTCTCTCCATTATTCATGATGGACGAGGTGAGCGCGTAGAAGCTCTGTCCCAGCCTGCACCCTCCGCCCCAGCGTTCGAGCTCCGATTCAAATTCTTTAGCCTGGTAAGGATTCCTCGAGTTCCACATGCAGAAATTGATCGCGGCGATTCGATAAACCCTAAGTCTAAGCCTGTGGAAGGAGAGAACCCAAATTTATCTATGTTGATATCTGAAACAGATTCTGGGGTACAACATACTCGTTCAGTGTCTGGGCCGTGGCGTCATTCAGCAGTCTCTACAGGTTAGTGTTTTGCTTCCGTTTTGATCTGGGCTGCCGCCGGAACTATTCCTATGACTAGTAGTTTGCCTTATCCAACGCGAAACCGAATGTCGTCTGCAGGGATCCCACCAAGCATGATCCGGGGCGAGCAAACAACGGACACCATGCCGCCCCACCTACTCGGGTGACTCGCCCGTGCCTCTTTGTATTTTTTCACGGCGCCGGGTCTTGATTTATGAACGGAGCAACAAACCCGCAGCACCCGGAAAGGGAAACTCAAAGGGACACAGCTTGTGGATTCCGGTCTCCCCTCGGGCTACCGACCGCTAGGACCTGGTATTTCCTCCGATTCTAGATTCTGCGTAAGATCGAGTGTCATGGTGCACAATAACTTTTCAGCAGCGCTTCTTGTCTTGTTCCTTCTGCACATGCTGCACCGCCGCCACAGGTCCGACTTGGAAGTCATCTTGATGTTCGGGCTGCAGCTATCCCACCTTCGTACAGCCGGTTATTAAATCTCCGGACCACTGTGCCGGCTTTGCTGTCCACGGTACCCGCGCAGGCTGTCAGATTCTTTTGGCGACCGTCCCGATCCGCTATCTGGCTCAGGATCCCACGTCTACTATCTCCAAATCAGTGGGCCGGTTCTCCCATTTCCGGATCTTGTGGACTCGGTGTTCTCTGCCATAGAACTGCCTATCCTTGTCGAAGCTGCTGTGATCCCCCTCACAATGGCGCCGAGACTAGGGTTAGTATTTAATATAAAAAGAGTCAAGGACCATTGTTGATAGGTTTTACTTCCCTCTCGCTTTCACATGTACAAAATCGTCGTTCGTGATATATATCGGTGGTCCCTTGCACTCAAATAGTCATAAGGCACACGTACGCGTCGCTATCCAAGACTCCACCATGCCCGTCGTCGCGTCCTCGTCAAGCGGCGGCGCTGGCTCGTCGTTGAACCGCGCTCCCAAGACACTTACCCCTCAGAGAAAGCATCGAAAGATGCTGAAAGATGGTTCCAGCGAAGTCTGGCCAGAGTCTATCGAGAAAATCTTCGTTGAAGGTGAATTTGTATTTGATTCACCATCACCCTCCTAAGGCCTCACTGTTCATCCCCATTCAGGACTACGACAATACTGGGACTCGCCGTGGGCAACGTTCTCAAGGGGGCGCAGCCGATGGCGAAATCAATTCCTCGTCGATTACCTCCACAAGAGAGGGATCGAGCGGTCCAAAAAGCAAGTTGCCAGCCATATACAGGTCCTGAGGAATATGTGGAAAGGAGAACCTGGTTTGTGCACTCCATGTCTATTATTCGCGTCTCCTGCTTACGCCGCTCTCCACCGCAGAGTATCAGCTAGTTGCTGGCGGAGATGAACTGTTTCCAGGGACGAACATGCTCACATCTGTAAGCGACCAACATAACAATAGCAGCGAACTACGATTGTCCGGCGTTGCTGTCAAACGAGAACATGGCGGACAAAGTCCTCTGTTGTTCCCTCGTTCCCCTAGTTCGTCTGGCTCGGACAGCGTGTACGACTCCGGCATAGCACCAGAGCTATATTCACCTGTTGGCACTGCGCCCCCGTCGGTCGCCTTCGCGGACACGGCAGTGACTACTGTCGGTTTCCCAGCGGATGTATCCTTCGGCGTCACCACTGCGGACAACGTGAAGCGCGAGGGCCTCGAAGGCGCTCCCTGCAATTTTGCGCGCGCCTACGTAGAGCCGGCCGTCAGCCAGTTGCCTGATGATAGAGCCGCTGGATCGATGAGCACCCTCACTTTTGCTGCCCCACTAGGCACAGAAAATTTATCCGCAGCATCGCCTCATTTTCTGTCCCCGACTCCCTCGGATCCTGCTTCAATACCTTCCAGCTACCAAACAGGTATCCCCGTCCTCGGGGAGGCTGTTCATAATGGCCGCCAGTCGCTTCGCAATCGACTCACCGCTTTGTGCTTATGGTCTCAACGGATGGAGCGTCGTACCGTCCGCGTAGATGAGTACATCCCCCTTCCTCAAAGAGGATCGTCCTGCCCGGGCCCCATCGTGATCCTCATAAGACTGCAATTGCCCGTATTTTATGATGGATTGTATAGCGCCCTTGCATTCGACGGATTCCAGGGTGCCATACAGATGGAGTCTCCATGGACGTCGGGTCAATGTGCAACGCGCGTATACCAAGAGGGAGTCTGTCATCATCAGGATACAGCCTCCCTCAAGCCGCCTCAGAGCCTTGACGAGACCCAGAGAATGCGCAGCATACTGCCAGAGTCGTGGCTCACCAGAAGTAGATGGCTCGATATTGGTACGTCCGCGGCCCGCCCTCTATCAAGGTCGATGGGAGTTCCTCATGTTCCACACGTGCTTGCAGCCAGGCGGATGAACGTCAGCCAGACAGTGGTCGTCGATGGAGTTACGCTAGCCGTCATCAATTACGAGTTCAGCGGTATTTACTCCGATGACAAGCCCTCTGCGGAGGTCCTCGAAGTCCGGCGTCCCACTTTGGGGAAACCCTGGCCGCCGCAGTATCCCTCTGGAAATAACCCGCCGACATCGGCAGGCTATGAAATGCTCCCTCGCCAACCGGCTATCGATTCTTTCAGCAACAGTTCATACTCGTCGCTCGTCGGCAGACAAAGGTCAGGAACGGCATCCTCTGTAACATCGGCTGGATCACAGCCCTTTTGAAGCGTGCTGCTGACAGAGGCAAGCGCGCCTTCACCGCACACCCTCATATTTTTGGCCCTCCTATGCTTGTTTCCCGCCTCACATGTGTGCCAACATCTCATGTATTATTATATCATAGTTATGTCTTCCGATGGACATTGCGGACACGTTCCGCCTTCGCGTCGCGTTGTTGGACCATACTTGCCTAACACGCCTTCGTGGCCTCACTCTAGCACTTCTCATTGGTCGCTTGCTGATCCTTATATCACCTCGTGTCTACGGCTAATATAACGTAAAATATATCTTGCTACTCGCTACTGACGTATGAAGTTGACGAGGTTGAGGGCTTCATCTCTGACGCGTACATCCCAGTGCTGGTTCGCGAGGATGTGAACTTCAAAGAGCGACGCGGCGGAAGGGTTACACAGCTGGGGATCGTCGATGTCGGGACGATAAACGCCGTTGAACGTGCGATCTTCCGTGGACAAGAGATAGTCCAGCCTCGTGTCCTTTACGATGAGTCGCTCCACGAAATGAATGGCCCGCACAGCACTGGCCGGCGGCCAGTGCAGCGCGGTGGACAGGACGCGCTTTGCAAAAGCTGCAGACCGCCAGGCGGGGGAGCTGTGCTGAGTCATACGCGGCGAAAACACCAAATCCAAGGCGCGGAAGAACATATCAGCAATGGATCTGTGCTCCAGCTTTGCCGCCGACGACTCAAGCGGGATCCGCTCGATATCTGGAATGAGTCCTAGGGCAGGAATAAGGGCGTAAAGTAGATTGTTGAAGTCCGTCAAGTCGAGAGTAAGCGCTTCTCCTGTAGGACGCTCAATGAATATTATTTATCGGTCAGAAAATCTCCATACCTTGCCCAATTAGGAGTTCAAAGGCAGTGGTTATGCAGGTGAGGCGATACCGCACACTTTTCTCCATGCTGCTGACGTCGTCAAGACTATCGTCCGAGGGAGGTTTCGAATCCCTGAGCACCAGGCTCTTCAAAACCTGCATGAGGTCCTTGAAAAAGTCGATGTTAACGAGGTGAGAGAATTTAGAAATCCCTTCCAGCGCAGCTGGAAGCAGTGCGGTCGGCTCCGGATTTTTCAGGATCCGGAAGTAAAGGACGAACAGCAATTTCAGGGTCTCTGTTTGCTGTGCGGAAACTATTAAACGGTGTTCGAAAAAGTTTTCACCGACGTACCGTAGCAGCACGCTCTTCCCTATCGACCTCGGCGGCGGCCTCCTTCATTTCCTTCTGGATTTCCATTTGCTCCTTGAGAACCTTCTTGGCCTTCTTGCTCAGGTGAGGGGCGTCGGTCTTCTTGCCCTTACCATGGCGGGATATCCTTTTCTGCTGACCCTTGGCACTGTCACCTTCCTTTTCCGCCTTAGACTCCGATGCTCGAACGTTGAGCTCCGTCTTGAGGCGGAGATGGAGCAGGCAGCTCAGGACGTTCGGGTGCACGTTGTATTTTCGCTCCCGGATCATGCGGTTCAGCAGCCGAACCAGCTCCAGTGATGGGGCGCCCGTAAGGTCCTGACGGAAGACCTTGACGATCGTATTCAGGCACAGTTCCGAGGACTTGACGGGCATTCAGTGGGAATTCAGCGGATAAAACCGAGATCATACCTTATCCCAAGACTTCTTACTCAGTCGGGCGACAATGCAGTTCATGAGGTTCATCCGGAAATTGAAATGAGTCACCTCCACCAGGAGGGTGCACATGGACTGCAGCGCGATATCGGCGAGCTCTGTCTGACCTATCCAAGAACAGTCAGCGATAAGTCAAAACAATGGATGCCGTCCCGACCTTTGACCTCGGCTTCGAGCGCACGTAAGTACGTCTGATAGACTCCGACGAGCCCCTGTTCGTATTCACGTGTCCTGGCTACGATCTGGCTCACTTTCTCTGCCTTCTCCTTATCGGTGAGCGGACGAATTCGGTAGCCGGGGATGATGTCCTTGTAGACAGCAAGCTGGGAGAGCATGGCTAGCTTGCGTATCGTGGGGTCGTTCGTCACCGGCTCGGGGTGCGTAGGTGTGGATATGGATGGCAGCGAGAACGTATGAAGTCGTCGCAGCAGCCCAAGCTACAGGCTGGATGAGTGAGCAGCACTCTGAGGACAACCAGACGTGCTTACGCTGTTCTCAGGATCAGCCACAATTTCTTGACATATGCTCGCGATCTGTTCTTTGGCAGCCTCTATACGAGCCTTTCTTGACTTACTCCCAATCACGTCTATGACGGCTGGACGACCGAAGCGCGCCCCGGTAGAGACATCCTCTACTCGCGACGCTTCAGCTTCTTCTGGAGAGCTGTCCATGGATTCCTCGCTGCTCTCCTCATCTTCTGGACCAATACGAATTCGACCTTCGGTCTTCTGAATCCGGCCATCCGCCAGTTTTATGGGAAGACGGTTGACAACGCCTTTGGGTTCGGGTTCCGATGTCCATGCAGGCGGTCGCTGGCGAGATTCGTACAGCTCTTCTGGATCCAGCTCAGAGTCCGCTTCGGATGAGCTCGGGAAGGCGGAAGCAGAGCCGGGCTCATCTGATTCAAAGTCGCCCTCTTCAATGTCCGAGCTCCAGGAATTTTCATCTTCGTCCTCGTCGTTAGAGTCAATGTCTGGGAGGTCATCTTTACGGGTCACCCGCACAGGTTTGTTCATGCGATGCAGTCGTTCAGTTTCTTTCTTACTCCTGGGAGAAGCGTAAGCTCGTGCTTCTGGAAACGTAGGACTACACACCTTCCAATGGCCTTGGGATCCAAGCTACTGAGGAATTTGGCGTTATCCGCGTATTCGTTCAATAGCTCGAGATCTTCCTCTGATAGCTCGGCCTCCGCATCCTCTAGAGCAGCTGGAATCTCCACGACGTCCCTCTCGTATGCCCGCTCCTTCCCCTTACCCTTGTCCTTCCCCTTCCCGGCCACATTCTTACTGCCTGATTTGCTTCCTTTGGCAAGCTTTGGCTTCTTTGACGGACCTCCTCGCTACAGCCTGGGTAAGTAGGTGTTCAGTAAGGCGCTGCAGCACATACCTGAGAGGGTGCTTGCCTTTTGGCCCCCTTGACGGCCATCGCAGCGTGTAAGTAACGAGACAGCAGCGTGCCCTCAGCCAATCAAACTGCCAAAGCCAAGAATCTTTCGCGGATCTGGGCTGCCATCAATATGTAACTATATCCGGAAACCCTATCCGTAATTACGTAAGTACAGAAGCGTGGACGCGCCAGGACGCGATCACGCGTCTGTGGCTTGTCTTTCGACTTGGTTGTAGTTCTTTGGCTCGCCGTCTTTCCGAGTCCACGCAGAAATATTAGGTCTTCTTTCCGCCATGGATGCGTTGCGCACAGCGAAGACGACGGGCCAGCCCAATTATCAGGCGAAAACTACACATGTTCTTCGGCCACACCATATCGGCCTGCTCTCCGTGCTCGCCATCTCCTATAAGGAATTCGAAAGCAAAGAAGTCCCGGCACCTTTCTTGCTCCACATAAATAGGTTGATGCTGAATGAGATCTCCGAAGTAAGCTGTATGCAATGCCTACACTTAGACCGCTAAACGACATTAGGTGGCAGAACCGAAACCCTGGTACCAGCTTATACAAGAGCTGTCTAGTGGTCCTATGGCGGATGTTGCCGATGCACTGTATTTAATTGAATCTGTTAAAGATGTGGTACGGTTGGGCCCTGTAGTGGATGTCGGTCATGCTGATAGTCCCTCAGCATAAGTCTATCCGCAATGGCGCTGACATGCTTATTTTCTTCCAAGGTTGGGATGCGAATCGTTTGATGTTCGGTTCTTTACTGAATGAGGATCTAGGTGTTGCCGCCCTCTTCCAGGACAACGATGATCAGGTCTGAAACATGTATGGATGTGCTATCTTTTCAGCCATTACTCACTTCATTCCGCAGGAGCCTGCATTCGTGCGTATCACATTTCATGCCGGAAGACAGGAGTCAATTCTACTGTAGACGCGACGCTCGCCATTCGGCTACTTCTGCAGGAGATGCTGGGTCACTTTCCAGAAGTTGTCTTGGGAGGGTGTCCTAAGGTTGCAACGCGACTACGCAGCTTGGCGCGCCGGAGACCTGCAAGCTGGTTACATCGATGGGCCAATGGACCGATTAAACAGTGGTATGTCGCAACCTTCATGCCATATAGCTAGGCAAGGTAACATCTTGCTGTAGACAATCTTCTGTTCAGGACAAGCCGGGATAAAAAGAAATTTGCTACAGCCGAGAGATATGCCGAGTGAGGGGTCCCCGTAAGTCTTAATGCGTCGACCTTACAATGAATTTACTTCACAGATACGAAAAGGCGCGCGATGTCTCAGACCTGAGCACAGCCGTGGAAAGCCTCCGCAGGTACTTCGAGCAGCTATTTCACACCGAAAATGACATGTCAGTAGCTATCCTTCTTTGCGGGTGCATGACTCCTCATTCTTCCAACCTACAGAGGATATAGGCATTATGCGTTGCTCGAGCTTGTTCGTTATCATTGGAAACGCCGGGAGTGGACGGTGGCGCGGGACGTGAGTTAGACTGGTGACTTTTGCCAATTATTGTGCGGCTGATCGCATCCCCACATAGTTGCTCGTCGAAGCTCAGGAACTCGCCGAGAGGGCTGGTGATTGTGTCATGGATGAGTATTGCAAGAGGTCAGTCTCAGTTGCCTCTAAAGCAGCCCTTCTATATCACTTATCTTTTGCCTTCTAGCTTGGCCTCTCGTCTGCCCCCAAAGGATCTCGGGGCAAAGCAGCCCTTGAATACCATCCGACCTAATGTGCATCCTTACGAAATCCTGTACGACGTGAAAAAGCTCATGCAAGTCAGCTATGCAAGTCACGTGCTTCCATGTCGTACTACTAGGTTCTGAAGGATATCCTAGGAACAACCCTTGTCGGCTTCATTTGAAAAGGTGTTGGAAGCTATCACCGCCTTCGATCACTGGGCAGAGAAGGAAGCATCAGCACAGACGGACGTTGAGCAATGGGGGCAACATGCTGTACAGTCTTTAGTATGGAATAATGCTGGTAAGCAGGGCATACGAACGGTTCTGGCCATGGCATGTTCATCGCCTGCCTTTGCAGGATGTCTTCGGATGAGCGAAGTGGAGGAAAACATTGTAATAGCTTTCACTGAGACGGCTAGCGATGACAATAATCGCATAACAGTGATCGTAAATCGAGCTAACAAGGTTATTTCCCTTCGAAACGCTGCTGGAACACTGACCTCTGACTTATCAACACATTCCCTTTCAGGAAGCAAGAAGGGGGAAATATCGCGAAGCTCTTTCTATGTTACTGGATCCGGACACCTGGCGTGGGCTGTCAGTCATAGACTATGAACATCTTTGGGCAAGCGAGTTGTGGCACGTTCTTGCTCTGCGAGCCGCCAGGAGGTCCGCGGATCTATTCATTGTAGGAGTATCCGTGCGCTGAATCATAACTTCAGAGGCCAGCTTCGAGTCTTCAACGAATTTCTGCAACCCAAAAGGCCTGCTAGTTACAAACATCGAGACTACTTCGCAGACTTGCCTCCGTCCGGCGGATCTCACATACGTGACCGGTTGTACGAGGTCATATACTACCTGGTATGTTTATTTGCCCGGTCCACCCTTCGTCATAACTCAACCGCTTGTCATATCGTAGAAATGCGGGCAAGGCATAGCTTGTGTGGAACCGTTGCTGTTGTCATTGTGGCATTCCGAGTTCCAATGTCGCTATGGGCTGTATAGAACAGCGATCATATTACTCGCTGATGTGGGCCTTGAGTTTGGCATGACCAAGCGATGCGAAAGGATCTTGCGGGAAATCATACCACAGGCCAGTTCCATCGGGAAGCTGACTTCTTCTCTCTGTTGATGCATGCAGTAGGTCATTAACGGCGACGACATCGAGCAAAGAGCACTCGCGTGTTTCACTATGGCCCGGTGTATAATCGTAGCCGGAGGATCGGAAAGTGAGAATGTACACTCCTCTATGGACCCCTCGAGATTGATCTGTGTATCGTTGACAGGTTCCAATCTGCAAGAAGCCATAGGCTTTCTGGATACAGCCGAGGCAGACTACACGACTCTCGAGATGTATCCTTCTGTGGTGAAGGTGCAGTACTTATTAGCGGTCATCTATAACGCCCTCGGTCGGGAGGAGGGTCGAGATGCCGCAGCTGCGAGACATCTCGCAGCGCAGTCCAAACTAGAGGAGTGGGCTGCGGCTGCGGTGGACCAGGAAACACAGGCCATATGGACTTTGGCAATGGACGTAGGAGCCTCTCTCTCGGCGAGATAGTGCCAACGATTGTATCGGACTCCAATGTCCCCTCACCTTAGCGAGATCTGGCGGGAATTTGATGGAAACCTTACAAAGTGGACATCTGAGGTACTACAGAACTTAAGTACTGAGATATTTTCCATAATTCTATCGGACTGCGAGGATCGTACCAATAATGAGACACGTAAACCCAGATCACCGGTGGTATATTGACAAGGCGGAAACTACAAATATAATCCGATCATGGGGACGGGAACTGTGTACTATAATGTTAATATAGAGCAGCTGCAATGATACTGAAGGTTCATACAAAGATAAAGGAATGCATACTATGCTTACAAAGATCGAAAGAGAAAGGAATCACATCGCACACCAGCTTAACCCGGGGACGTAGAGGGACCATTTGTAGTGGAAGGACTTCGTCCATGAGCAGAACCATTACTTGCGACGCTTGACCGATATTGGAACAAATTGTGAAGCCTGGATAACCGCTCGTCCGCGCCGGCCATTTCAGATGTACTCATCCTTGGTGATCGCGGCGAGCCTATGCTCTCAGCCTTGCTGCTGATTGGTGAGGTAGGAGAAGTAAGGTCAGGCTTATTTGATTCGAGTTCTGCAAAGATCGTTGAGTGTGATATGCGCAAGATGCGAAGGACACGCACTGGACAACGTATGGGCTACAGCAGCATTCCGATCCTCGTCTTCGGCGGCTCTGCTAGCTAAAGCTCGAGTAATGTATTTGCGGAAAGCAGGACCAGTTGATTCCAGCAATTTATCCACTCGCGATTTCTTGTGTGGATAAGCCTTCAAGAAATGGTGCAGCTCGGTGATACCCTCTTTGTGCATGGCGCCTGTCGTTTCGCTAGAGATGTGGCTGATTATAGTCAGCAGCTGAGCATCTGGATCTGGCTCCTCTACAGGAGGTGCAAATCCGCCATGCCCGTTCATAGAAGATGCGCTATGGCTGGTGCGATGACTGGGTGATGAGTGCCGGGGTCCTGCCGATGCCGCAGAGGATGTTGTAGGTGATATGGGCCGACTGCTCGCCGGGGATTGCTGCCTAATCGAATCATGGCGTAATCGAGCTGGAATCTCTGTTCCATTACGGGCGCCAGCGTTCAGTATACGGTAAACGTAAGGGTAAACGATGGTAGCAGAAGGATCGTCAAACGAAGCTGACAAGAAGTCATAAACTTCGTCTCCGTAATGCGCTAAATGCTGATTGTGAGCGAGAATCACGCGAAGAATAAGACACACAGACCGACGACATGTTGTATAATGACTTTGATTGTGCGCAATGGCATGTCCCCGCAAGGAACTTTGTTGGTCGCCCGGGCACGCCACTCATTTGGAGGAACAGATTGAAGGAAATGTTCAATAGCCGGGAATAGTTCCACAGGATCCAGAACCTGCTTCTCCAAGTCTTGCGGTATATTCCTCGCCAATTTCCATATACACTTCAAGACTAGCTCCGCTACTTTGGCTTCTTTAGACTCTGGCAGCGTACGATTGCTGGGGAAAGGTTTGACGATCTGGAGCAGAAGAGCAAACAAAGCCCTGGTGAAGAAACGTGGTCACAATTCACTGCATTCCTCGTATGAACGGTCAGCTCACCTGAACACAGACATTCTCCGGGCCGTAGCAAACAATCTGAGAATAATCATGTTAATGAAACGTGACAATTCCTTGACCTGCCCGTCCGGACTATCGTCGGTCTCAAGCAACCGCAGAGTCAGCTCTTCTAGTAGAGACGTGAGGTTGTCCACGGTTAACGATTCGGCTAATAGAGTATGGTCGCAGAAAGCGTTCAAGGTTTGAATTAGGTGCTTAGCAAGTCTGAAATTCTCCTTGAGAAGCAGATCCGCCGGTTGGTCGAAGACATGAGCCATTTGCAGAGTGATAGTCTCTATTAAACCTTCAGTATGTTCCGCTAACTCTTGGTACGCAGGCGATGATGGTCCAGCTTCAGGACCGACTTCCAGGATTTCCTGAATCTTCTTGAGAGCGTCAACGCTTCGATAGGGGTCGCTACTGAGGATACTGGATATAGTGATCGTTATATCATCTGGTGGCATTTCTACAGCTGTCAGGTCGTCCAGAGCATCATGAGAAGGTCGGCTTTCGGGGATGGCACCATTAGTCACTTCGGCGATATTAGGGAACTCTACTGATGATGTCCTGCGTTGCGCGGAGGTCGCGATGCCGCCCGGTTGAGCCAAACGAGTACGTGGAGCGCCCAATCGAGAAGGCAAATGTGATTTAGGACGGCCCGCAGCTACGGGAGAGGATGGAGCCACAAGCCGTGAGGTAGTGGGTAGTCCCGTGGTTCTGGCTGGCGATGTGGGACGGCTGCCGCCAGAGGGTGCTGGAGAAGAGGGCCCGACGGGACGAGAAGGTGAAGATGGTCGAGCCAAGCGGGACTTGACAGCCGCTGCAGGACTCGACGGACGGGGAATGCCACCAGTTTGTGATTCAGGTCTAGGCATGCCCGCAACGCGAGCAGCGGCATGGGGTAATGGTATGTCGTGCTTGTCTGGACTACTGGGTCCCGAAACTCGACGCAAGCGTTCCTCGAGCTGTGTCTTGTCTTTCGGAGAGAGGGTCCCCACCAAAGACCATACTTTTTCTCCGACCAGAACGTAAGCCTCGCTGTTAGTATGGTCATCGCTCAACAGATGTAATCGGTAAGGGCCCAAGACGTACATACCTGAGTGCAGACAATGCAGACTTGCGAACTTGAGGGTCTTTGTCAGCGATCATCGAAGCAATCTGAGGCAACGCCTTGTTGGGCTCGCAAGCGCTCATGCCGAAACGCTTCAATAAGCTAGCAAGCTCATCGAGGGTTCCCTGACGTGTCTTTGCAACCTTCGACTTGAGACCATTTTCAAGCAGCAAGTGGAAGACGCGGCTATACGCATACACTTTTGGTAGCGATTGTATGATCTGTTGCACTCGTTGTCGCACAGGCTCCCTGGCATCGCCGAGCTATGAGATCGAATAAATAGCCGTATCGTGAACAGAAGAGGCGTACTCTAACCTTGTATACCATTGTCGGAATGAAACACAATGCCTCCGCGTCCGACAACTGGTAGTCAACAGTGCGCATGAATGTGAGGACAGAATCCACAACATCTAAGCACTTGGATATCACGTTGGATTGAGGTTCGTGCGCTTTCATAGACGCGTATTTAAGCGGCAAGTCCGAGTTTGCAATCCGTAATGCCTTCGCGTTCTCGTCGTCCACGTCGCAACTTGCATAGAAGTCACATATTCGGGTCATTCCCGACAGATAGTCATTGGTGGCGTTATGATCATGGCTGAATAAGAGCGCCACAACGTCCTTGGACGCATGAGGCTCCATCTGGTGCTGTAGCAATTCAGCAAGATCTTTCCGAGTCGGCCCTGCTTCATTGATCCATTTCTGACCATCCTTAGTCAGCCGAGCTTTCTTAGGATCCTCACGGGCCGTCAGGAATGGGTCATTGCTCGACTGAACAGGAGACGTGGGCGCGTGCGCCCTGGGAGGACCCGCAGAAGGTGCACCAGGTCGTCTCAACCCACCGAGCTTCGTTGGCATACGAGTTGTGGGTGCATCCTCCACAGACTCCGCTCGAGAATCGGGCCGGACAATCGTACCTTGAGGGAGTTTTCGGCGGATGCCAGTCAATTTACTCGGGGGGGCTACCTTGCTTGCTGGCGCTGGAGGTGGTGAGGGCGAAGGCGCTGGAGGTGGAGTGGCTGCTTTGGGAGGCGCTGCCGGAGCTTTAGGAGCTGCTGCCGCTGGTACCTTCGGGGGAGCTGGCACTGCTGCAGGAGCTGAACCACGAGCAGCATTGATGAGGGGAACAGCACTAGCTCGGGACGCGGGTTTGAGAGAGTTTGTCTGTTGCATCACGTAGTCAAACCCGGTGCAAGCCACGAGAAATGGTAAGACGGCCTGTGCGCCCTTGCGGACGTCCCCAGAACGGTCATCGAGAGATGAAACGACAGGCCCGACCCAGCTGTGCAGGTCAAGACTTGATGGAGGCGGATGCTCGCTGAACCATTCCGCGATCCAGTTGAGTAAGTTTGCTTTCTGTAGCGGATTAGAAGACTCGAGCGCCGTAGCCAGACCATTAGTCATTGACTCCAGCCCTTCACAAGCGGTCGCCATTGCAGTGAGGGTCTGCAGAGCTGCTGCCCGGATTGGAGCTTTCTGGTCAGCCAAAACAGTGGCCACTGGCAATGCGAAGAACCGTGTCTGTTTCTCGAAAGGCTTTCCCATGCCTGATGCAATCCGCGCGACGATGTCGAGAGCAAGTGTCTGCACAGCTTTATTCGAGTCAGTCACTCTGGCCTTCAAAACTTGACCTATCTCGCCTGTCGCCCGGGATGTTAGAGTGCGGCAGGAATATAGGGACGTAACGCTTACCCATATTCGGTTTCAGACGTTTGTTCGGGCCTTGATCCAATATGGCTTGCAATGTTTCCAATGCTTCTTTCTTAGTCTTCCATGCGTCGCTCTTCGCATCAGCTAGGATCGTTGTGCCTTTCAGCAGGCCATCGATCTCCACCCGGGGGAACAAGTCGTCCAACGGATCACCCCCTGCTGGTGCACCACCCTTGCCTGGGGCGTCGCCTTGGGAGCTCATCGCCGCGAGGTCTCTCGACGTACGGGTCGGCACCGGGGGTGGGGTGCCTTCTACTTTGTCGAACTCATTGCTGATGGTGTTCATAAGCTGGGGGTTTAGATCTCCCAGGAGGTCCTTGATACCTTATTGAGAAGTTCGGTTAGCGGATAGTGCCGTCAAACTTATCAGCCTAGCATCATTTACCTGACCCGGCGAACAATTTTATGGTCACCAAAGTTTTGGTCGCATTGGTACGTACGGCTGCGTTGGAGTTTTGTAGAGCCGTTTTCAGGAAGTCAATTAGGCTCCGCAGGGAAACTCCAGCGACTCCAAACTCTACCACAGCAGACTCAATCCAGGTCAGCGAGTCCGCAAGCACCTTCGGAGCTTTCTGCTTAGAGAGTGGTTCATACGCTAATGATGAAATCAGTCTGTACCCGTCGTCGGATGAGTGAAGCTATCGCACCTTGGCTAAGAACAAATTGGAGAGACGTCTGTTCTGCCATCAGGAGTAAGGTCTCTCCAGCTGGTTTCTTCAGCTTCATGTCACCCAGCTTTTCACTCAGATGAGGTGTACTCAGTGCTACGCAAGATCTTCCGAAGGAAGGACATCTCTCGGCCAGGAGAGATAGGATACCATACAGCTTGGTAGAGACCTGACACAAACAGTTAGCGTGAGGCTTTCCGTTTATAATGGGTACACACCTGGAAATTCTTCTCTGACCAGCCCTTCTTGGCCAAGAAGCGCACGATGACTTCAGCGTCCACCTCCTCTACCACGCCTTCAAGCCAGCTGGTCATTTCCTCCAGCGCAGCTAATCGAGTCTTCCAATTCGAATCTGCGAAGTCAGTCTGAATCTGTGCAGGGATTGCTTCGGCGATCAGGGCGTCCGCATCCTCCGGCGTGTGCTTGAACTTGAACGTGTCCAACGCCCCCGGCGCAGCCGCGGCACCGCCTTTCGCAGGTTTCGATGCAGGAGCGGCAGCTACAGGGACAGGTTTCTTGGCCGGGACAGCTGCAGCTGCCGCAGTAGGAGGTTTCTTAGCCTGAAAACACGATTCAAAATTTAGAAGACGGAAACAGCCTCGACATGAGTCATTCGACTGACCATGAGCCGCGCTGGAGGCTTTGCAACAGGCTTCTTCTCCGGAGGAGCTTCCAGTGGTGACTCTGGCGGGGGTGCAGCAGGAGCCGGAGCACTCTTCTTCGATGGAGGTACAGCTTTCGGGGGCGCCTTTGCAGGGGGAGCCCTGGGTGCAGGTGCAGCACCTGCCTTGCACTTTACCGTCGCCTTCTCGTACGCCTCTTTGACTTTGGCTTTCCTGACGTCCGCCAATCCCTCCACGAGTGCATTCAAAGGCCGCTCGCCCACCATCTTCATTAAAGTTCCCAAACAGTTCGCGGCTTCGTCACGCGCACCCGCAAAGGAGTCCTCTAACAATGTAGCTAACTGCTCGGAGAGCGGTTTCAGCTGAGGGGGAGGAACGGGTACTGTCGATGTGGAGAGACATCTGGCTAGGAATTTCAGCGTCCCTTCCTTGACTTGGGGATTCTTGGAGCCTAAGGCGCCCTGGATGTCCGGCAAAATATCGGGCAAAGTCGTCTATGCAGACTACGGTGAGATCCTGACAACCTTGCATTTTACGACACAGACTCACGGTCGCGAAGACAGCGTCTAAGACAGCTCCGATAGCATCTGTGACATTCGCCTTTCTCTCTTTCAGCCTTTCAAGCATTGGAGTGACGACCGCTTCTCTATATCGTCCAAAAGCTCCCATGAGCCCCTTGGCAAGCGCCTCCTGACACTGAGCGGCGACTATCACGCAGTTGATGTTCGCGTCGGAGTGTATCCGCGTTGCCATGGCCTTGGCCACTTCACCAAGCTCAGGGGCATCCTTGATCTTGGGCGTCGCGTTGAGCAGAGTAAGCAGGTCGTCCAAGACTTCCTTGCGTTCCTTCCATTTGGAAGAACCGAGCGCGGCATGTAAGTTCGAGGGGAGTTTAGGGACGATATCGACTTCTTCGGCAAAAGCGCGCGGATCCAACGCTGCATCCTCTGCGAAGCTCATACATATGCGGTCGGGATATTGCTGCAGAAAGGATGACGTACCTTCGGGTTCATCGCCTCCTGCCACTTGGTCCTCACCCGCCTCCTGCGCTTCCGCGGCCTCCCTGGCTTGCTGCCTGGTCATCCTCTCAGGCTTCAAGGTACCCCTGCCCTTCCCGTCCTTCTCCATAGCCTCGAAAGCCTCCTTCAGCTCCTTGACTTGCACCGGCTTCAGATCGGCGAGCCATGGTTCAATGGCAGGCCCGAGATACTGATACAGTGTATGTGCGAGGTTGGTTCCTTCGGCTCGAACAGTCTTGTCGGTATGCGCGAAGATCTTCGGCAGACTCTTAAGGACTGGGGGTGGAGGGACTACTTGGATCCCAAAGTTCCTGAGTAAGACATGTATATTAGTCCAGGTCGAACATAGTGTCATGAATTGTGTCAAAATCCGGGATACACCCTGACCATTCGGTCAAGCGTATCTTCCTGTATCCTCAAGAATGATGAAACATATATTAATGACACCTTACTCACCGGACTGCTTCTTTGATAGCGACGACGGTCCCAGCAACTACTTTGGGCTGTTTCGCCCCCAAGCCGGGCAGAATGTCACCCTTCAGTAGACATAGGTGCATAAGCCCAGCTTTCTCCCAGATAGAAGACAACGCACCACAACGCCCGCACCTCCGTTCTCGACTTCGATGTATTGCAAAACAAGTTCGACAGCTTGATTCTTGGTGCCAGCCCTGGCCGACCCGAAGCATTTATCCACCAAAGCCGGGACAACTACTTCCCTAGTCTTCGCGGAGGTCTCTCCGGAGTACTTGACGAGCGCGACCACGCACTCGACGCCCTTCTCCTGGGCCACCGCATTCGAGTCCGTGACGATCTTCTTGAGCAGGTCCGGGTTGTTGACGTACGGCTTGAATGCAGGATCGGTATCGGATGCGGTCGTCTGGAAGGTTTTGACGAGGGACTCGTACGCGCTGACGCGGGCTTTCCAGTTCTTGTGGGCGAGGCGATCCTGGACGGGGATGGTAGAAAAGTCCTCCTCCTGCGGAGGGGCGCCGTCCATGTTGGTCGTGTAGGGGAACGCGGTATGCTCGCAGCTCGCTAAGATCGACGCGCCTTGACTTTGGCATCCGCCGAACCAGCATACGGACGGTCACGTGCGTTGTCGTACCGTGCCTCCGCCGCACCCCCAACTCACACTTGTACTACTACCTGGGACATCGAACGCCTGCTCGTGTATTATTTCTATACTACTCTGTCAGATATCGCTTCATGTCGCTGCGGGCGGTGAAAAAGCAAAATGCGAGCACCAAGATTGAAATGTCCTCCGACCTAGCCTATGATGCCGCCCTTCACTTCTGGCGAACGGTGGTGAACATCTTCTTCAGGGAGATAAGGCCGAGAGGTGCATACAATATTCCACGAGATGGCCCGGTCATATTCGTTGCTGCCCCCCATCACAACCAAGCATGTATTCGGTCATTTCGTCGTTACGTCGGATTCACTGAACATGTACTCTACAGTTCCTCGATCCACTTCTCCTTACCCTCCAAGTATACCGAGAAACGAAACGGCGTGTGCACTTCCTCATTGCCGCGAAGAGTATGCAAAGAAAGGTCATTGGGTTCTTTGCGCGCTTGATGTCCAGCAGTGAGTACTCCGTTCGGGTGAACGGGATGGCCTGTTAACAGCGCCGGTAGTACCTGTCGTTCGTGCTGCAGACGAAGCAATGCCTGGAACTGGCTATATCCGGCTCTCACCTGACGACCCCTGCCTGGTCCTGGGCGAAGGTACCTGTTTCCTCTCAGAATTTACCCCTAAAATGCAAGTTCTACTTCCCAAATCGGTCGGCTCCTCAGTAGCGGAGGTTGTCGAGGTCATCTCGGATACCGAGCTGAGGATTAAGCGCGAGTTCGGAGGAGAGAGCGGTAAGGGCACAATACGGGTGCGGGATAAAGTAGAAGAGCTCCGGCAGGAGGGGGAACCGGGGCTTGACTTCAAGCGTCTTCCTTTCGTTGACCAGCATGAGATGTACCGACATGTTTACCAATGTTTGAAAGAAGGGCGGTGCATAGGCATCTTCCCGGAAGGTATCGCAGCCTCTCATTTGCCCGTGGCCGATGTGCTAATAAATTGCCCCGCCAGGTGGCAGTCATGACCGGACAGATCTTCTGCCATTAAAGGCTGGAGTCTCCCTCATGGCACTTGGTGCCATGGCCAATGATCCAAACTGTAAAGTCAAGATCGTCCCGGTCGGGCTGTCGTACTTCCACCCTCACCGGTTCAGATCTCGCGCAGTGGTAGAGTTTGGCTCAGCACTGGACGTCCCCCCGGAACTCGTTGAGATGTTCAAAGAGGGAGGGGAGCGCAAGAAGGAAGCGGTAGGGAAACTGCTGGATGTGGTTTACGACGGCTTGAAGACTGTCACGGTCCGAGCTCCTGACTACGACACGTTGATGGTATACATGATCCTCTGGCCATTCTTCTCTTCCTAATATGCTCGAACAGCTTGTCCAAGCCGCTCGACGTCTGTACAACACTCCCGGGCAGCACCTCACTCTCGGACAAGTCGTCGAGCTGAACAGGCGTTTCGTGGAAGGCTACCTGCACTTCAAAGACGAACCCCGCATCCAGAAGTTACGAGAAGACGTGCTCAAGTACAACCGACTGTTGCGCGATCTTGGACTACGTGATCACCAAGTACGGAGCATGGTCGTCTAAAATTTTACGCATCTGCTAACGGCATGATATAGGTACCTCGTGCCCAGAAAGCGACGTGGAAAACCCTAGGTCTACTGTTCTACCGTATTGGACTCTTGGCAGTTTGGTCCACCTTCGCTCTGCCAGGTGTTATTCTCAACGGACCAATATTCCTCACAGCATCGATCCTATCGCGAAAGAAAGCCAAGGGTAAGCCCTGCGTGATTTTGAGTCGTCTGGCACTCACCCCGTCACTTGACAGAGGCGCTCGCGGCGTCGACGGTGAAAGTGGCCGGACGCGACGTCCTGGCTACTTGGAAAGTCCTCATCTCCTTGGGGGTTGCTCCTGTATTGTACGGTTTCTACGCGTTCCTCTCATTCCTTGTAGTAAGCAAGGCCAACGCACCGCTGCCTTGGCGCATTTGGACGCCATTCATCGTCCTCATTTCCCTGCCGTTCATCGGTTATGCTGCGTTGAAATTCGGTGAAGCTGGAATCGACGTGCTCAAGTGCGTGGCACGGCCGGTTCTACCCCTTCGTTCCTTTGGATTTACCGAAATGATATTGCAGATCGCTTCGTCCCTTAATCATAGCGCTGGTCCCCGGCCAGCAGCGCATGCTGGATAAGGTCAAGAACATGAGAGCGCATTTGTCCAACGAACTCGCGGATACTATCAATGAATTCGGACCGAAATTGTTTGATGATTTCAATCAGGTGCGACCGGGTCTTACTACTTCACTTCCTCCGATGAATATCTCGCCTTAGCATCGCATCTTGGTGCCATCTGCAAGTGTCCCACCGTCCACCGGCACGCCCGGAATCTGGAGACGCAAGAGTGGGACAGTAGACGCGCAAGGCAACCTGCTCGTCCACCCCATGGTACGTGGCTCCCGTCCACCGTACTCTGCCTCGGCTAAATTGCAGCAGACTTGGCTCGATGAAAGACTCTTCGGCTGGAGCAGGAGTGCCAAACGAGGCACCAGTGTATGGGCTGGCGGCGAAAAGAGCCACGATGTTAGCCGTGTCGGCACCCCTGATGGCTCAGACGACGAAGACGAAGGTGATTACGACAACGTCCTCGGATATCTCCCGATATACGAGTCGCAAGGCGGACGGGGTCGCAGCAGAAGCCATCACAGCTCGTACGCCGATTTGCAGAAGCTACGGACGACCCCTGCCGGCAACGGAAGCAATAATGATACCTCCCACGTCTCACCCACTTCCAGATTGCGCTCCGAGTCCCCGAGCGACAAGGACGGGTTGCGTTTCAGAAGCAATGTTCACCGTGATCGGAAAGGTAGCCTCTCCGACGGGGTGCCGGTCGAACGTCTGGGAGCCCTGGGTCGTGACGAACAGTTCAAAGACGCTACACAGGAGATCAACGAAGAAATCTCTCGCCGTCGCTCTTTGTCGCGGGAGAAATGAGTATCCGCACGGATCATTAGGGACAGGGGATCTACTTCGTACAGTCAGACCCGCGATGGGTTGCCGTCATTGATGTAGTGCTCGGACGCACGCCAGTATACTCCCATGTTAGTGAGTAATGCAATAATGACCGTTTCTGGGGATCATAGTCAAAGAAGTGCATGCCAGTCAAGATCAGTCCCCTCGCTGTCAGTAAGGCTACAGTGCGAAGAAGGGAGCCCTGCAGGGACTCAAACAAGATCCTCTCGTGGTTTCCCAGCCGTCAGCACTTCCACGCCCGTCTCCGTTATCCTGGCAACAGACATGCTTAATCCGAGCAGCGGAGGTGCACTTATCGGCAGACTCACAACAAGGTTTCCTCAAACTGAGCGCTTCTTTTCCCGTCAACTGTGGTAGCAGTCCAGTTATCCGGCCAATGATAGACGTCCCAGTTTGTACCGAGGTTGAGCATCTGGAATGGAATAAGCTGTGAACGGGCGACCGAAATTGCCATATACGTACCGGCTCAATCGTGAAACACTGAAAGGCATTCAATATTCAATGTCAAACCGAACACAGAGCGCATTATGACTTACCATTCCTGGCTTCATCGTCCCAGCGGCCTTGTTCTTTGCATAGTGTGGAATGTTGGGAGTTGCGTGGAACAGCTCATTGACACCGTGCCCGGTATATTGCCGTACTACTGCGCATTGATTTGCCCGAGCGACAGGCTCTCTGCGCGGACGAAGTCATTACAACGAAGAGTACGGGGTTATTCCATAAAAATTGGACGGACATTGCCTTTCCGATATCTCGGAACAATGCACCCGGATTACAGAGTTTAATAGCTTCGTCGAGCGACCGGCGAGTTGTCCGCATGAGCTTCACGGAATCTGCATCCACTTTTCCGACAGGATACGTTTCATTGAGGTCGGCGTGAAAGCCTAGTATTAGTGTTAAAGCGATCGGTCAGACGGCCCGGGTGCTGAACTAGTGCAGGCAGGGAACAAACCATCGTAATATACGGAAACATCTGGAATTGGGGTTACATCGATAAGAGCGTGGGAGTCAACAGTAGGAGGTACTGTACCAATGTTTATTATGTCTCCCTCTACAAGCTCCCGCTGGTCGGGGATTCCATGACAGATCACTTCATTGACGGACCTATTTCATACAGTCAGGAGGACTGATCGGCTGACTAACAGACGGACCTTACGTGCACACGGATTTTGGATATTCACGATAGCCAAGGGGAGATGGGTAGGCGTTGCGCTCTATAGTCGCGTTGTGCACAATTTCATCGATGAAATCGGTGGTCACACCAGGGCGGACATGCGAGGCAGCAATATCGAGGATTTCCCGTCCCATCTTAGGAACAAGTGTAAGGAATCATATACGCCACGAAAGCAACTGGTCGCAACGACAGAAGTATCGACGGCATCCAAGACACACGGAACACTTACCCGACAAACTATCCGCATCTTTTCCTGCTCCTCTGTGCTAAGGATGCGAGGGGGTGAACTGGCCTTCCTGATTTCCATGGTTGGCACACCTGTAATCGAAGATAGACCGCATGAGCTCACAGTCCTAACTTGATGTGCTTGAATACTTTAGTTATCTTACCCGTTTCCGCATATTCAGGCCTTGGTATATGCGCAGGCACTTGACGTTTCGGAGACAGAGGATACACCGGTCTCAGTTCGCCGGTGAAACGGAAAGACGGGAAAGGGTTGTAGGTGCCGTCTGCGGCCGTCATGTGGTAAGCCTAAACCAATTGAGTGATGAATGGTGCGCTCACTTCTGCCCACTCCTTCTGAACTCTTCTGCGTAACAAGGTCATGGATTATCTTGTGCGTTTTCTAACGGAGTGTACGCTCATGAGCATTGGGACTCGCATGATTGAGACTAAGATATCCGAACCCCTGAAAGACAGCAAGACTTATGAGCATATGTGTTTCCTAGTGACGGAAGACCACGAACAGTTGGCTTTGAAGCATTCCTGGTTACAGAACATGGAACCCTTAATGCCCAACCTGAGGCAGACGGTAAACAGACGCGCAAAACGGTAAGCGAAGCACGAACTTAGTGCAGGTAGGACAAGCGAGAGTTGAGGGGGGTTTGCCATTGAGGCAGTTCGTGCTTTGACAGAGGACAGTACCAGTACCAGAGCTCATGGTGGCGCGCAGCTGAAAGGCAATGATCGCAAGTTTTGGCTTCGGCCCAAAGACACGTGCTGCGGTACCGAAATTGATGCAATGCTTCCGAAAACCGGCTCTTCACCTTACCATTGGTCGTCACGTAGCCGACCGCACTTCTTGTCTTCTACTGTGCGCCCTGATCAAGCCTGACGGCGCTCGGGCTGGATGCACTTTGACAAAGGCCGCTGCCACCCGGGGACGCAAGGAGCACATTGCAGGTCCCATATCTTCTTTCTTGTAAATGGTGTGCGTGTTTGCTACTCGGCCTCTGACGCGTACGGAAAGAATTCTTCGAGTTGAACGACCGGGCAGTAGTGGTCATGACTCTGAGCACAGTTTTGTCCATATGACACGCCCGACTCAGAAAAACGTGTTCCGGCTGAGCTGACAAACCGCACAAACTTCTACCCATCGAAGAGATCTTGGTTGGTAAAGGGCATTGCTAAGTCCCAACACGGTTCACGTAGGTTCCGTCAAACGTCCCCCGAGCGCATTGAAAACAGGCGGCAGACGTGCTGCCCGCAACGAGTCTTTTTGATCAGAGCTACGCCTTTAACCTATGTATATACTAGGCTCGCATACCATGATGCTTGGAAGTGGCATAATCTACGAGACAATTAGGTGGACGGACGCGATGGCAAGGGACCAAGTGTCAGAAATATAAAGGAGTCCGCCGAATGTAAGTCATTATAGAGACTAAGTCGTACCATAATTAGTGCAGGCGAGGCGTACGAAGGTCGAAAGCAATATAACACATCGAGCAGCAGATAAATATGCGACAGGTTGAACATAGCAAAACAGCTTGAGACGTTAATGTGGTGCGCCGGATTGATGATGGCCAGCACCTCGTGGCAAGGTTCGAGAACCCTAGTAGATTCAACTTAATTTAGCATCCATCACGAGAAGACAAGAATGCTATACTTGCCGTGAAGACCAATACGCTTCGTCTGTTAACGACGGACGGGCTCGTGCTCCAGCTTGAAGGCGATGCGGTTGTCGTTGGCAGCCTTAAACAACTGCCTGTAGTGCGCGGACCCGAAGACTTCTGTCAGCGCGGCTTCGTGGGAGCTAACCCAGTCCGCCGGCGGCAAAGCACGTATGGTGCGGTACAGCCCCTCCTCTGGCGAGTGCTCTTCCTTGACAAGTACGAGCATCCCAGTAAGCAGACATTGCAACAAGTGCAATATGTCTGCGATCGGCGTCACGGTGTGGCGCATCGCTGGAAACAGCGCGCTATGGAAGACCATCTGCCATTGAACGCGCCTCTCTGGAGAGAAGAAGGTAGACGCGTTCGCGGGCAGTTGAAGGCGCATGTTCGGACTTCGTGGGACGCCGCTTGATGAGCGGTATGGCGTAGGCAATTCGATGGTGAATAACATGCGGGGATCGGCGGGGGTGACGTCCCTCCAGCCCATCTGGAGCAGCTGAGCCTTCAGAGACAATAGCCAGCGTCGTGCTCGCGCATAGTTGAGGCCCAGCGCGTCAGCCGTGGTGAGCGGGATCCCGGTGCGTTTGGCCCAGTCATCCATGTTACGGACATCACTGGAAAAGACTAGTTGAGGCGGGGGACCCGAGGAGGACATTTTGAAGACTGGGAGACGGCTGTGGCGAATGCTGTGTACTTTGTTGAGCATTTTACGTGAAAGAAAGAGACCGTGCAGGGGGAATCTTACGGAGTGGATTTAAAAGGCGACGGGCTCCAAGATCGTGTAAGTTATTATAGCTATGACTTGCAGATACACGCTGCTGCCTGCCCGCTCGCAGATGTTGATTGAAGGCGCGAACCAGGGGATTGTCCAGGGCCTTGGGCTGAGCGGACGAGGGCGCAGGGAAGGGAGTCGCGTTTTGAGTGAGAGCGCTGGCAGGGCCGGGCGTGGGCCCAGTCGTAAAATTGGGCCCGGGCTATCGCAACCGATTGTGGCGGCATAAGGACCGTGGTCAACGTAAAACGTGCAACGACGTTCGGCGTTCTTTGGCACTTTTTGGCGTCCTCATCGTCAGAAAAGGATATTTGCTCCCGCGGTCAGTGTGCCCTGTTTCCTTTTCCAGCGTTCTAACACGGCCGATGCCGCAGCTGGTGTCGGCCCTTCCTGAGAACAAGAAACGATTACCTAGTAACGCTCTGTGGGCTCTTGAAGGGCGTCTGGGCGGCACCCTTATTCCTATCTTCGCAAGCTCTCTATATACCCGGTGATATCTTACTCAGTGGCCTGATGCTATCTTTCGTGTGCTTTCCCCCTTGTGTTCAGCCGCCTTGACTTTGCTTTTCTGTGGTACGCGGATGAGCAGTCGCTATTTGACGTTCAATGACTTCATAGCAGATCTGAAACAACAGATTCTCCTCCGTCCGACCCATTCCACTTTTCTCTCTTAGCAACAGACTATATTGGACAAAAGCGATGCACTCTGGATCGACGATCGGTCGCACGAACACTTAAACTGACGGCGCTTGGGGAAAAGAAAGCCGCACAGGTAAGAACCAGTGGATCGTCAAGAGATGGTTGCGACGCCATAGCTATCCCGAACGCTCTAAGTTTCGCTGTGAATTACAGCATGAATGTTTTCAACCATGAGCAGGAACACTCCAGGCTGGATGCGCTTGAAGGTGGCATCCTGGAATTCCCGACACGCGAGATGATTTGCCACCGGAAAGGCGTCAGAAGTTGACCAAGTGTCAGCCCAATTCAATTGAATTGTGTATATTCTTCTCCGCGGACAAGAGAAGCCGAGAACGGCACCAAGTACTGTATGATAGGCTAAAGTTCGTGGGCTGGCAAGAAGCTGTATTCAGACCGTGTATGCTGAGCCCAGAAGTCGCTGAATTCCATGAAAGAGGCCCTGGCACGTAAGCCAGCTGCAGTTGGTCGTATATAAGGTCGGAACAAGGCAATCATGCAGGATGCAGAGTTCATTCTGCGAACTTGCATAGCTCACGCGCGCGGACTTACTGTACTAGCTGTCACGTCACGACCTCATTGCGTCACAGTCATTCCGTCCGAGCCTGACTCAGTACACTGCAGCAGACGCCAAATATACCTGATCTACGGTCAGTAATTAATCCGTAGTACAGACTATACCACTTGCATCTGACCAAACACCATGGTCCAAGGCTCTGGTAACATGCCAGTCGCGCATTCTCCCATCCAGGCGCTGAAAAGCAGCTCTGCTGTACCGACGACGATCCTTGAAGATCCATCCGGAAGTCTAAGCCAACAGGGGTTTGACGTTTATGCATCCTACCAACGTATTCTCGAGAATGAAGAAGTACAATATCATGTGAACCTCTGCAGGCTGTGACATTAATCTGCGTCGACTGAACCAGATTGCTACACCTTTGGCTGCAATCCTTGCACTCACAGAATTAATCGAACATTCCAAAGGTAAGTCAAAGTGGCAGAAAAACGATTGTTTTCTTATATGCCGAAGCCGGCACCATGTTCGAGCTCGTCAAGGAGCTCCACGAAGCCGCTGAAATTCTCAAGAAAAGGACGACGAATCCCATCAGTCTGAATGCAGGAACTGAGCTGTTCATTGCTTTCGTTACGCTCTTCCCGCATGAGTCAGACGTGAGCTCTCGATGTCCTTTGCTCGAATCATGCTCATACAAGTTCCTCACATTTTAAGAATTTCGCCGATCTCAAGACGAAGCTAGTCAAACAGGGCCAGGACTATGCTGCAGAAGCCTTAACTTTCCGCGGAAAGATTTCAGAGCTGGCTTTGGACTTCATCAAGGATGATTCCGTGGTAGTTGTCCACCCATCCTTTGGATCCGGATTCGAAGCTTAAAGCGGAGCACAGATACTAACTCATTCATACTCGCGAGTGGTGATGCAGACGTTGCTTCGGGCTCACAAGCAAAAGCGAATATCCGTCTACGTGACGGAAGCTCGACCACGTGGTCTAGGGTACGGACCGCACATCCTGTGTCTTCAAGCGTGTCCGTTGTATTTATTAATTTGTCTTACAGTGTCAAAACATACGAGGCTTTGACAGCGGCCGGCATTCCTTGTACCATGGTCCTTGATTCGGCAGTAGCTTATGTCATGGACATGGTGGACTTCATACTTGTTGGATCTGAAGCTGTAGTCGAAAGCGGGGGTCTTATTAACGCCGTAGGCAGCAACCAGATAGCTATAATAGCCAAGGCTGCTAAAAAGCCATTCTATGCTCTAGCAGAGAGGTGAGGTTTTATGCGTTCTTCATTTTTGCAAGGCACTCGACTCACATATTTCAGTTACAAATTCCATCGTCTCTTCCCCTTATCGCAATATGATCTACCGACGCACAATGATGACATTCTGTCGTTTCCACGCCACGCACAGCGATTGTCTCCGGTACTGACTGCGAGGCCATCCGTGGCTCCGAGTCCGGTGGGTTCTTCGAACCCCATACCGACACGACAATTGCCTTTCAAGAGGACGGAGAGCTCTGCATCTTCATCTCAGCTGGCTATGACCCCTGAGCAAATACTTCGGAATCCCAGAGTTGACTACACCATGTTCGTCTTCTTCTTGGTTCGCCGGGCGTGGAATTCACGTGTTTCGTTCGATTCAGGCCGGATCTTATCTCTCTCGTATTTTCGGATGTTGGTATTCTCACTCCTGAGGGTGTGAGCCAGTATCTCGTTGGCATGTTTGCTGGATGATCCCGCGTTTTCCAGTAGGCCTTTGTATACGTCTGTTTGCGCTGTATCCTAGCTCATCACGCGCTACATATCTCTGTTTCGCGATAGAGTTTACGATAAATCATGTATGACTGATCCTACCCGATGAGCGATTGAGATATCCTCGAGGCGTGTGCAATGTCTACCTTCTTGGTAAGTCTCGAAGTTTAGTGGAAGATGCAACGTCGAGCCACGCTCCTCTGCCATAGTGCTATAAGGAGCGGGAGCATGTGAAGCCTCCAACCCGGAGGCTCCGGCAACGTGCCACAGTATATTCTGCGTTTCGGTTCAGTAAGCCAACGCGTCCGCAAGGCCCGATTGCCCGATGCGTTGGTCTGTAAGAAGTCGTCGAAACGGCGAAGCACAGTGATATAGTGGAGGTGCGCTGGTGCCAGTGTTTGTGGGGGTGTATAAGAGGACCAGTATCGACTCATTGGTGATGTTCCAGATCAAGGTGGTGTGGTTGAACGCTGACATGTACCGTGCGCGTAGTGGATGAATGAGAGGCTCCTATTGGAAGGGAGTCTGATCCTAAGGGGTCGCTCATTCGGTACTATGCGGTGCTTCAAGTCCCGGATCTGCGCCCCAGTGACCCGAATGGCTTCTGATCAGATAGTACAACCTCGGAGCAAGGATTTGGGTTTTAACGTTTTAGCGTATCTCGCGTGTCTGTACCGCAAAATGTGGCTGAGATGTCCAGCGTCATTCTCGGGCAGGATAATGATCGCCAGGGGAAACCGACCCAAGCTTCGGGAATCTTGCTTGACACCATCTGGGACATGTTCGGAAGTGAGCGATCTACGACGGATTGGCGCGGATGAACTCACAGCGGTAGAACCCATCGGATACTACCTGGTAGCAGACCCGAGGCGTTCAATATCTCTAGTGTCGGGGAAGATATTGATTCTTCCCAGAAAACATCCGGAAGGGTATAAAATGCGGCTAATTGCAAAGACATGTCCATCAGACCTCATCCCCTCTGTCACCTTCCGCAAGTAACAATGTGCAAAGAGCGCCGGTACGACATTGGAAGGCGCATATCGTCTATGAACCTCACCTGTGTTCTGTCACAGCGTCAACTACCGCTACCGACTTTGTGGCCATGTCATATACGCTGTAAGTGTTATCGCCTGCTTGCGACCACCTCAATACTGACAAGTGGCTTAGCCCGCTGAATTCGTGAGTGGGTCTTGCGGAACGTCGAGACGAACACTAAGGTCTTGCAGATCAACTGCGAAGAGAGGTGGTGTAAATTCAGTATCGCCCATCCCCCGGATTGTCCCGACTGCCGGAAGACCTGCTGGCAATAGTGAGTACGTTGGTAACGGGATGTAGAATAACCCGCTCATCCATGGTCCGTACAGTCGTCAACATCCAGAGACATATGGTGAGCATAAGAGAAATTCTACGCCACCGTCGTTCACTCAATCTTTTTGCGTGGCAGATGTCACTTATGACAGGTTCTGTCCTGAGTGCGCTCGAGCGAGGTGACACAAAGATGGAATAATTGAAGGGATTGTTGTGTCGCTAGCTTGGCGCCCCGATCGATGATAGTACGCTTTCACATGTCCGCTTTACTGTAAATTGGTGCCCAATAGATACAGCGCATTTTGTGAACATACATACCACTTAGAAAAAAGATACATTCTATCTGGCTGAGCTTGTTTACCACATACACCACTGGATCCAAATCTAAGCGCTGCTGCACGCAATGCTGATTGTCATTGTCAGCGGCGTCTTCACTGGCTGCGTGGCACAGAAACAACTAGGACCCGGTGGGAACCACCTGCGTTAGACGTTATATTTTGAGGATTTCCACGAACTTCCAAGGCTGTGGAGTGATGCCTTGAAACCTTAAACAGCGGAGATGACACGAATGAACGACTAGTAACCACGGACGCTCCTTGTTCATGAATGCCAGGGAACTCGGTTGACCAGAATACCGACCAGAATAAAAGCACCATAATTAGAGCGGACAATAGGAAATCTGAGCAACAGGGAACATGAACGGACGCATACGTGTATGAGATGCTGTGGAAGTGGGTCTTCGAAACTCACGACGATAAACATAGAGCGACGAGTGGATTACGGAGGTTTCGGAGTACTGTCCTCGTTGATGTCGTTACGTGATGATATAAGGGAGAAGTCAACATGTATTCTTGCGCCTCATGTGCTTCATACAGATCTGTCGGATAAGAGCATGAGACAAGAAAAAGATCGAGAGTAGATACAGTACCGAGGTTCAGGTACGACGCACTACGTTGACCAACGACGGCACCAGTAGGTATTCGGGATGTCGACTCATGATATCGATCTCCCACAGTCCTTCAGTTAGTGGGCCACTGAAAACGTCGTATGCGCCAATCCCTGTCCAAGTGACGGCAGTGATTGGACACTAACTATTCCCTATCTTGTGGAACAGCAGTCGGAAGACAATCGACTCTGGAATCTTCCGCTACGAGCTGTGCGAACAGTTCTCGGTTAATCGGGTTGTGCCTGGGTATGTCCGAGGTCAGGCGCGAACGCTTCTTCTCCGCGCATGTGTTGAACACGCCTTTGAGGGAACCCGAGCTCCAGGAGCCAGGATATAGCGCAGTACGCAGTCAACAATAGTCCGAGAACAAGCCCCGCCAGCTCGGGGGCGGGGAGGATCCCGCAAATGAAGACTTCTCCGTGATCCTAGCCAGCGGGAAGGAGCAAGTAATCAAGCGAGGGAAATTTAACTTGTAGGGCGTCAGGTGTCCCCTGTACGGCCGTAGGCACAAAAAGAACTGTGAGAAATATTTCGCCTTTACCAGCAAACCTACGCCGTGTCCGGGCTGTTAGCGGCTTGAATGGCGCAGGACGCGGGACGCCTGGATTGAACCGAGCACCGAGTACGTCGTGTAGTCTGGATAGTAGCTACATTCGTATGAGAACTCACAAATTATCTAGCCGAGTAATATTGGAAGCACCACAAGACACAAACACGCACCAAGCGCGATGGAGTAAATCCCGGTCGGCTTAGACCGCCATGTCGAATGAAAGACGATCGCGGTCCGCGGTTCCACATAACATGCGAGCTGTTATAGTTGCTGTAGTAGCAGGGAGCTTGTGCGACATTTACATTTGTCAGGTATGCACAGGCGGAAGGTGCTTCAAGTCGAGCGAATTGCGGAAGCCTGCGTGGATCTGCGTGACGATCTTGTCTCGGGATTCTGGCGGTGAGCCACGTGGCCGCCACAAAGACCTGTGCTGGAAGCTTTCGCTGCGCCACAGCCTGCGAGGCCAGTGGCTTGGCTTCCTTACAGCTGCAAAACACGTTTGCTATGGGTGCCATCGGCTATTCCTCACCGACCGCCTCACAATGGCTCTTTCCGCTCACTGCTCTGAGTGCGACACCAAGTGCAGAGACGTCAGGCATAGCCCTGGAGAGAGAGCTTTATGATCGGGCAAGAGGCGTCGAGTTTCTGTTCCGGCTGGGAACATCCCTAGCTCTGTGAGCGTATACGGACGTTTGCGGCCCAGCAAACTCACCGAATGATTCACTTCAGGCCATGTTCTGCAATGTACACGGCTGCCACATGGTTCCATCGGTTTTACATGCGTTATTCCATGGAGGATTATCATCGACAAGTGCGATTATGCCTTGCCTTCTTTATACCGCCATTTACGCTATGATACCGTGCTTTCAGGATGTTGCCGCTTCATGCATATTTCTAGCGACAAAGACAGAGGAGTGCGGCAGGAAGCTACGCGACGTAGCCAAAGTGTACCACATGAAGGTCACAGGAGCCGATGCCAGCCAAGTGCAGTCGGACAGCAGTGTATGCAATCAAGGCTTTTCCTCAATACGTGCTCAATTCAACCTTGTAATAGGAGGTAGAATTATGCCAGACCATGATTCTCCAGACTGAGGAGGCACTGTTGGAGGCCTTATGTTTTGATTTCGTGGTTGACAACCCTCACGCCGAGCTAGTCGACCTATTTGATGCTCTGCCAGATGAGCCTGTTGTCCAAGAGTATGCCTGGAGTTTTGCCAACGACTCGTGAGTACTAGCACTTCCATCGACAGACGTTACTAACTGCCTTGTCGAGACAAGATACCGCACGCCGCTTTGCGTCTTGTATCCTCCTCGAGTGGTGGCCGCTGCATGCTATATTCTGGCTCAGCGAGTGGCTGATGGTCCTCAGTCTGCGTCGTTGGATGCTCGGCTGTCTTCTCCGGCTCCGGTATCCTCGTTGCCTACGCCACCTTCGCATAAGGCCACCTCACCAAATGGTTCGCGTTTTGCGATAGAGCATTTTGCTTTCAACGAAGTGGAATTAGCGGGTGTAGCAGGTGCGATCGTGAATCTGATGCCACTACCTGAAGCTCAACTGAAGACTTCGATCAGATGCACTGGCGATCCTTTTAGAATTTTACAATGCGCAGGATGTCTCCGGTTCCGCGGAATACCTACAGCCAGTAGTCGCGGTACGTTCGATAATCTCCAGTTGCGCTGTCCTCTAAACATGTTTTTAAGGTTACGCCGCCAGCGGTTTCCCCGCGCAAGCCGCTGTACCAACCGTTCGCCCAAGTAAGTAGCAGCACCAACGTCCCGGATGCTGCTTTGCAGGGCAGAACCCCCAACTCTTCTTATGGCGGAAACACCCCGTCAAAGGAATGGAAACCCGTGGGATAGCTGAGATGAGGAATGATTGTCTCGATTATCTCTTGCATGTACAATATTATGTATCCCGTCCATGGATCCCTAGTGTATCATCATTGTACATTATCTGTCGACTTGCTCTGTTGCACTGCTAATTACGGCTCGCCTCCATCATTCCACTTGCCTTCACGAGGCTTGCCAATGACCGTCCGGTTCGAATACGTAGACCATTCTGACGAGGTTGAATCGTCTGATGCATCCGAGGGTGCTGGGCTGGCGCGCGGGTTCGTTGGTATCGCCCGGTTTTGCCATTCCCGGAGTCGCTCGTACACTTTCTGTGCAGGGGCTGGTACAGCGATGGGAGGCGGCAGTTTACCCCTATTGATGGTATCGGCCGGATCCCAGCTTATAACGTCGGTGAGTTCATCGTCATCGCGCGCGACGCCGGCGGACGATGCGGCGTCTCGTGAGAAGAAGAATCAGCCCGCTTGCCACGCAACTTGCTCCGACCGACTCACCTTCACTCTTTCCGTCCCAGTCCGATTCCGACTCAGCATAGCTCAGTCTAACCCCAGGAGAGGCTATTAAGAGATCCGGTGGCAATCGGTGAACAGGTTCAGGCACCTACGCATTTAGGAAGAAAGAAGAGCACGTGAGATTGGTGACATTCAGGACGAGGACCAGAATGCTAGATCAGGAGCGCAAGCTCCATGGCGCCCTCGGAGTCGTGAGGCAGGAGGTCGTACGCAATGCACGGCGACTCGACAGTGGTGTTCAGTGGCCTTTCACCCACCTTCGGGATCATCCATGCATTAGGTATTCCATTGGCGGATGCAAGCCAGTAAACCAGGCACTCAAGCGGGCTGGGGTTGTCTTGAGTCATAGAGATGACGGGGGATACGAATGCTCTAGTCCATCCTGCAGGATTTGAGTAGTGGGGTAAATAAGGCCAAGTGATACAAACCTGGTGTGAATGCACCAAAGACCCAGTCACAGCCGGATGACAGGACGAACCAGGGGCATCGCTTGTTGAAGCATACATCCCAAACCTACAACGATTGGCGGGTAGATTGGAACACTCGATGGGCCAGTATACGCCAACTAACCTTAGCCCAAACGCGCTGTGCACTCTGATAGTATCTGTCTTGCTCCTCAACCATTTCGAAGGACGGGAACTAATAGATCCGATGAGAGTCTATTGGGAAGATGCACTTCATGATCACCCGATGACAAGTACGGACCGAATTCAGTTTCACAAAGCTTTGTATGTCCTGTGGCGACAGGATCCATGGAGGTTGAAAGGCAATCACCACAGAACGCTCCGCTACGTTGGGTTCCCGCATTGGACTGGCTGCACTTTGGGACCAGTAGAAATACTGGAAGAGGTCATTGTCGACATCTTCACTTTTCTCATGCTGTATTTCCCACTCGATTGTATGTGGCCAAACGACATGCATGACTCTTTGAGCCGTCTGCAGTGGAAGTTGTTCGAGCCAATTCGCAATACTATGCCGTACAGTGAATAACAACCATTCACGCATGTTCACAATCAAGCTTACCCCGATATTTGGGAGGCGGCCTTCAGTCTTACTTTTGGGATGTCGAAGAGGGCGCCAGCAGGGACGGAGATACTTTCTCCTAGCTCTTGATCTTCGTCATCCGCTTCCACGGGCCGGAAGGGGATACAGTAGTCCAGGACTGCAGCAGATAATTATTTCAATCGTTCCCTACTGGTTAGAGATCTGCTTACACCCTGTAGTTATATCCAGGAAGTCATGGGGCCTCAGATGTTCGATTTCTGCTAGTAAGCGCGACCTCTCCGGCCGAACGGATATGAAGTTCGCATGGCTTTTGTGTCCTTCCGGAGGCATGTTGGTTATAGTACGTGAGATGGATATGGGAGGTAAGACAGCCATCTGGAGATATAACCGCAGGTTGTCGACGGCCCGCATGTCCACGCCGCCAGTCCTGAAACGTCGAGGAGACATGGCCAGGGTAGTAGCCTGAGGAGGTGCGCTGATTGATTGTTTGGATGGGCGGAAAATGTATGCAAAGAAGGCCCGTTTAAATGTCCTTATATGCACACTAGGGAGCTTCTAAGTGGTTACGATCATGTCTCCTGGCCTATTGTTCGCAAACCGGAAGTAGAACAAGGTCAGAAGCCTTCGCCACATGTGACGGTAGCATCATTACGCGTCACGCCTGCCTCATGGAGATGTGGGTCCATGTATTATCAGCCGCATCGCGGCTTATCTCTTCTTCTCGTGACTTGGAGACAAAGCTGACCTTGTCTCGCAATTCTGTCATGCCGTCCTTATAATTCACAAGACCAACGTCTCGCATGCAATAGGGAAATACATAGGCACGTATATTACATTACAGGGGGTTCTATATAAGTATACTCTCGTACTCAAGGGCATTAATATCTATTCGTTTAGTGCATATCGTCATAACCTCTGGTACGAGGATCATAGTGATCAGATCATTCGTATCGCATGACGCCCAGCTTATCCTGCCAAGCCCATCTAGTTTCGCCTCTCCTCGACCAGTGGAAAGGGGTGACTTCCAGGACGCATCGTACAGGCGGGGCATGGGTTGGGACTGATCCTGATAGGATTACGCACTGGGACATCCATGAGTCGAATGCAAGATCGAGACGTGCATCCTATATACCAAATACATTAGTGCAGATCTCGACGGAAGCTATGTCCAGGCTATAGACCTGTCCGATGCAAATGTCGTCTGCTGAAAACGCAGTTGGACTTCTGGCAGTCTTGGCGATGGGTAGAAATGCCCACGAAATGCCCGCAAAATGTGTGCCATCGACCATCAATAATCTTTAAACGAGAATGGTAGATCATTAGCGATGGATACTACCAGGTCAGCTGAAGCAGAAGAAATAACCGACGTTATGGCACATATTGCTTTCGTGGCGTCGAGATAAAGTAGGTGTAAAGACCAGCTTCACCTTCGAAAGAATGGAGTGCGGTGAAGATCGTCCCCGCTTTTATGGGGGGCGGATGGACGTGCCGCCTGAAGCATGGGCACAGTTTAAGGAGGTGTCTCTACCGGCCTGGCTATTCCTGTGATCCCCGTACGGCCCTAATCAGCGCACCCCGCCCCTCATGAATGGTATGCCAGACCCGCCATACCGGCAATAATCGGTACGCAGGATCCAGTATATTGCACACCTCGATAATATCGACCCTCCCAGCTGCAGGCGCTCGAGGCATGGTATGGCATTTAGAGTGAAATATGCTTGAACTACGGCAAGTATGCTTGATCCGTACCGTGGTGTTGACCGTATGGGCCTCGTTTCCATTTGACCGCGGCCGCGTTTATGGATAATACGGACCCGCTTTCCATGAGTCCGCGAACAGCCGACCCATGTGCGCAGTCATGACCCCTAGTCAGCGACTTCCTATCGCCGTCACCGAAGGCTAGAAGCAAGACCCTTGCCAGCAGTCTGTCGGCCAGAGAACACGTTGTATCTGCACGGCGCGATGCAGAGAACGTGCTTCGCTCGTGTTGTTGGAAACGGGTGTGACTCATCGCTTTGTGGGCTCGGTCTCCCCCCGGCTCCTGCACACCCAGGCTGAGATTATCATAAAAGACGGGAAGAGATGATACATTCATGCCTCTTAAGTATTTCGCTGTTGCCAAAGTGGGCCGGTGCCCTGCGGTATCACTGATTTCTATGTGGCCTCGAATATGATACCAACACACCCATTCGACCATGGGGCGACGGTGCCCGAAGCATGGAGTGATGGAGAGTAAACTGGCGAATTGACATAGGGGATTATAGAGCAGAGGGACAGGCAAGACCGGCAAAGGCAGGCCCCTGATTTGCTAGAAATCACCCGGGTGGATGCATCTTCAAACTCTCCACTGCTCTCTCAGGCCTCGACAGCCACGATGACGACATAAACGTAGAGCGAAGTCCGGCATGAGAGAGTGGCAATCCATAAACCCTTACGGTAACCCCACACAGTATAGCCACAGCACCTGAATGAAAGACCCTCTCGTTTGCATGACTCGTTCATACATCAAGCAAGTCACTAAGCTCCTCTCCGGCGAATGGCCTCCACGAGCTGTACCTTCTTTCTAACCTGCGCAGATGGTACAAGCCAGTCAGTAAGCCTGAGAGACACGTGTGAGAGTAGAGCCACACCTCATGGGCAAATCGTCTTCTCCATCTCTCACTCCTTAATCTCCTCCGTTTGTCACCCTTCTTCTCGTGTCGCTCCTGCATCCTCAATTCATATCTTACTCGGTTTTGTTTGAGGCGAGTATTGAGCTTGGAATAGGCGGTGTTGACGTCGCCCTTGATAACTGGTATACTCCTACCTGTATTGACCAGTAATAAGAACGGCGAAGATGCTGTCATGGCCGGCAAAGACGCAGAGAATGGGCAGCACCCACCCGAGTAGGCATCGCCAATGCGAGGCTGCGTTGCCATGAAGGATTCATGCCTGATCTTCCATATCTCTTCCGGGGTCGCTTTCGAAGGCGCAGGATTGGATGGCCTGATTTTGCCAGAGCGGCCAGAGCTGATGATGGTTGACCATACTGCCGCTTGACCAGCCAAATAACCGGCAGTCCGAGGAGAATTAGCCCGAGATGGGGACTGCGGGGGCCTTTGGGACTGGAGCCAGGGCGCAGATGGAGTCGTAAATGTCCTGACAGATGTTGTCCTCAGCGCGGTCGTCGTATTGCAGCGTAATGATCTCTGAAAACCGGAGGCTCCGTCGCCTAGCAGAGTTGTCCCAACGCGCTGCATAAGAGGGGACAGCATATCTAAGCTACTGGGAAACTGACCCAGAGGCTAGAGGTCAGATGCAAGTCAAAAATGGACAAGATTTCGAATGCTCGGCAATTGACGATCGCGGGCTCTAACAAGCAGTGTACGATCGAAGACTGACCATTGCCAGGGCGGCGTCCAGCCCACACACATCATGGCCTCTGACGCGTTGTTGGAGGAGTTTGAAGTAATTCATGAAGCTATGTACATCATACAAGAGACTAAGTATTTCTGGTGCAGGTGCTCGAATCGATCTACCCTACGGAACTTTCGAGTTCGTGCCACCTCTCTACCCCATCGTAGTGCAGGACTAAGACTCATGTAAAGAACTATCGGAAAGGGACATACAGATGGACGTTGAACCGGAAGATCCACAAGAAGGAGATGTCCGCTGTGAGCATCATTTACCCTGTGTCGAGCCTGCAAAGACTGAGAGATCGAGGATATTTAGTGTTACTTTCCCTGAAAGTGCACTACCCAGACACCTATCCCGATGTTCTTCCAGACCTTGCCCTGGATCCTGTAGAAGGAGATCTGGATGAAGTGGATATTGAAGGTCTACTTAATGATCTACGGACAATCGTGGGTTACGAGGCAACATTCCCTCGGACTGTGTCTGACGACCACCCTCGTAGGGAGAAGAAAATATAGGAATGGCGATGACGTTTACATTAGTTTCCCATCTACGGGAAAGGCTATCCGACGTCGTTCGCGAAAAGGCTGAGCGCCAAAGAAAGGAGGAGGCGGAGAAAGAGAGACAAGCTCTCGAGGTGAATATTTACTCGTGTCGTAACCTCACGAGTGTGCAACAATTCACTGGACCGTCACTTTTGTTATAGGCGGAAGAGGCCCGGACGCGGGGTACACCAGTGACACGTGAATCTTTCCTTGCGTGGAAGAAGAAATTTGATCAAGAACTAGCGGCGAAAAAAGCGAAGGAAGAGGAGGAAAGATTGAAGGCTATGACGCCGAAGGAACGCGAGGAGTACAAAAGGTTTCAGACAAGGCCGACGGGTAAGTACCGGACCCCACGCAACCTAACCAGTGTACTTACTGGATATGTCCCTTCTTATCAGGCCGACAACTCTTCGAGCGTGACAAGACTTTGGCTACCACAGATGATTCCTTAGCAGAGGAAGGCACTGTATCCGTCGACTTCAGTCAGTACGAGAGAAGAAGAGGTCAAGAAGAGGAGGAAGAGGAGGAGCATGTCGACTTTAGCGATAGCGACTGATCTATGTTGGCTATGTACCAAGGAAGAAGCGATACAACTATACCTGTATCATCTATCATCTATGCTAGTTATTCCAACGTCTATAATCCGGAGAGTAGTCCCTCCTCCCCTTCGACACCCACGACTTTCCCACCTCCTTCAACTTCTCTAAATCCTAGATCCTCCCTACCTTTCTCAACCGTCCATCCATCTTGCTCGTATAACTTTGGAAGCTCCCTCTGCTCCCCGACCAAATGCTCTGCCGTAGCCTTAAACCATTCTATCACCGGCTTCCTTACCCACCGCCTAACGCCAAAGAACCCAGTAGCCTCGCGATCACCTTTATCCGGACTCTCAAACCACCCGAGGTGGCCTCCGTGCGTCGTTACCGCCAGACATACCCACCCGTTCTTCCTCACCTCATCGATCGGCAGATCACGGACAATCGGGTCGTCCCCTGCGTTGATGCACAGGAGTGGAACCCGTATGTCATGCACATATTGCGAGGAGCTGGCCCACTTGTAATATTGCTCGGCGGAGTCCATGGGAAAAGGCGGGTACATCGCACCGGCGCGACACGTCCAATTCGCGTCGAATTGTTTCAGGTACGGCCTCTCTAGCTGCAGCGTATCGGCCAGCGCTTTGGCCGTTGGGCTATGTGGCGCCGCGAGCCGCGAGAGATGAGCTGCATTGACTCTGAGCATTTTGAGCAGATTCTGGCCTAGAGCTTTCGAGTATACTTCGCGATACAAAAGGTCGCCTTCGATTCTATTATTTGGATCAGAACTGGGAGAGTCAACCGGATATTTAAGATAAATGTACCTCTCGCTATTCTTGACCAGATCCCATGGCTACGAGAGTATGTCGTCAGCACGTGCGGGATGATAAGCGGAGGTTAAGTAAACGCACACATCCTAATACAGCTGCGGCCAGCAGGCGACTTCTGTTGCCTTCCTGCCCAAGGTACCGAGCTACGACGTTGGCGCCGAGTGAGAACCCTAACCCGATGAGAGGTGCTTCTGGGTAGAGTTTCGAAAGATACATGAGCGCCTGGCGCAAATCGTCGGTGTGGCCGCCAGAATAGAGCTGAGGGCTCGTGACGGGCGTCCCAGCACCTTGAATACCACAATTAACACCTACCATGAAGCGAGAAATTTTGTAGACTCACAACCGCGGAAGTTGACCACCATCGCTCTGTAGCCCAGGCCGCCTTGCTCTACGGACGAACATGCTGGGGCCAAGATGGATCGCACATACGCCTCATGAGAACCTACATCACGTTGAACGGGGCACCGGCAAGGTGGGGCGTATACACGTACCTCCAGTTAAACCATGCATAACCACGATTATGGGCGTGTCATCGGGAAGAGTCCGTTCACTGGACAGTGGGGTAAAGTCCAGACCTCTAGGAAGGTCTTATCGTATGAGTATACAGCTACCAACCTGACTGCAATGACCCACAATGTGCCTCCATCCTTTAACCGCAGAAGCTTACTGCGGAAGACTCGGTAGTGAGCAAATACTCGTGTAAAGACTCCCGGTCCTGCTCACCGATCATAGTTTACTTTGTCCACCTGCGAAAAATCACCAGTCACACAGTATCCTGTCTGTGCATGACCTCTGCATCGGTGGTTTAAAACGGCTTGTGGCAACCGATGTGTAAGGGCTGACTTACCCCGGTAGCCACCATACGGCACGATACTCCCGTAGCAAGCTCGGACAATGCTTTTCAACAACATCTCTCAATGACGTCCTTATAGACTCATTAGAATGTCTAGCCTTCCGATATTCAAAGTAAGCCGGTTGGATTGGGAAATACAGGCTCGGGGTGTACTTCGGCCTGATGAGACTGAGGACAAGACTGAGGATAGCGCCCATGCCAATGCTACACTTGGGATATCACCAAGACCTTCCGGAGTCGACGTGGCGTGCAGAAGCAGAGACAGACTAGAATATGTGTTACTTATCTGCGCAATGGCATGATGCCGGGCTGCTTTATGGAACTTCGCAAGATGATGCCCTCCCGAGGGTTACGCCAGGAAACTTCCGGCTATCCCGATAGCCGGTCCCGAGGATGGTCGCTCAATCTGGGAATGCGCCTTCCCAACCGGGAACGACGAGAACTATCATTCTCCAGTTCATTGAAGAAATCAAGTCTTCTGGCATACTTACTGACGCGTCTACCGCAAGCTCTGCTCATACTTATGTCAAACTTATTTCCAGCTTTTTATTGCCAGAAGCTCTGTCTCAGGACCGCGCTGGACATGGGTCGGACTGACGCAAGCCACAAATGGATCGTCGCAGACGTTTCCAATACAGCGTCTTCCTGCAAGCTATCGCCATTCCGACGGAAACCTACTTTTATCAGTTAACAGCATATATAAAGTCGTCACCCCTCCCCTTGCCATTCTCAACCCTCTTCGCCATATAATAATGTCGAACTTCAAAACAGTGAGATGTCGAGTAAGCTATGATGCTGCTCTCATGTTTTATAGGCTGAAAAGGGTATTCCTGCTAGTACTTCGATGACGATGGGAGGCCTGTGAGGCCATACTGTCCAGACGGCCGCCGTTGCAGGTAACTGGCGACTCCGACTTTGGCTGGGGCGACTTCATGATTTTGCGCAGGTTTATACACCCCGACGAAGAAAAGTGGGCCCTGCGTAAACCCAGGATCAAAAGAGAAGTCGCTGAAGGCCCGACATTACCACCATCCGCTTTAGCAACGCGGATCTCGCCTCTCGTCCCTCAGTCCGACTTATTCAGACGCAGCACGAACAGAGATACGGAGGCTGATCACCACCCGAGACAAGATCACTCTCATGAACCGGGACGAGCGTACGTCAGAAATAACGATGACAGGAACATCAGAGGTCGCAGTTTCGGTGACCGTAGAGTGCATGAGCTCGGCTCAAGTCCGCTACTCGGTAAAAGGACCAGGGATTCGGAGGTGCGTCCCCCGCTTTCATAGTTTCTCTATATCCAGCTAATCAAACGGGTAGGGGTCAAATATACGGGACAGATCTATCCGCAGCGATTCTCGGGATGTCTACACTGGAGAGAATACGAGAAAATCGCCAATGAGATTAAACTCCGACAAAGAGGGCACCATGTTTACTCCCAGAGTTACTGAAGGTGGTCGCAGGAATGCCAGTATGTTTCACGGCAGGCCGAGGGAAGGTGGGGTCGGCGCCGGACCAGGAGATGCTAGGTCAGCTCGTAACGCTAACTCTGGGCGTGTTGACGCAGCTCTCCGTGGCATCGCGCGGTCTGTCTTCACATAGAAATACCGGTTCTCTAACTAATAGAGAATTTTAAGTGCAAGCACGGATATCACGATGATTTCCATCAAATTGCAGGCGAGTGCTCAAAAGCTTGACGCGTTCAGAGAAGTGCAGAGGAGCCTGTCGGTTATGACGGCCAACGCACCTGTCTCTGTCTCGCATCTTATCCAGCATTTAAAGGAAGAACACAAATGCCTGAAGATGGACGCAGCAAGAGCAGAGGTCAGACTACAGATCCTGTGGGAGGACGTCTGCAGCGAAATAGGTAGATTCGTCCAGGACATGGTGAAGGACCGAACAGGGCGCATCCAGGAAGAGGCAAACCAGACGATTGCCATGGAATCAAGACACGCTGACGACGAGAGGGAGCGAAAGCGGAGTCGAATCCTAGACCCCGAAGACTATAGACAAACTCAAACGGCGGATACACAAGGAATTGAAGACAGGTCAACCGTACTGGAGGCAAGAGTCAACAGGCACGGCGAGATGATCGCTTTCTTGTTAAAGGAAAATGAGGAGGTGAGTGTCTTCCTTCAATATGAAGGCTATGTGATGTTAACGGCGGTGAACGATGCATAGCTTAAGGCGAAGCTGAAGATGCCTACGACACAAGCATGGGCCGAGCCACAGAGTCACAGTCCAGACATATTGACCGCAAGCAGCTCTGGACAGGATCGATCACGCAGAGATTCTGAATCCTTCTTGTACGACTCTAGCAACGTGTCCATGGGGAACAACATAGAGGTCAGCCTTTTCCGCTATCAATTTCGGTGGTGCTTACGGTGATTTTGCGACAGAGATTGCTTGAACGGTTAAGGGCGGGGTACGCGCCACACGCGAAGTGACACGTCGCTGTGGTGCCTCCCATAGCCCGATCCAGAGAAGCCAGAGCAAGTATCAGTATTGTAACCAGAGTATCACGTATGTAGCAGTTGCTGAAAACGCTGCTTGCCATCGCGAGAGAGTATAGCTTCAGTCCAGTACAACTAAGTAGACAAGAGTCAAGCCGACAAGGCAGCGACAAGGTGCTCGACGATGTCGTTTATCGAATCTTGTATGGGAAATTCGCGTCACGTGGTGCTAAACGCGTCAACAACCGTGCAGCGCCTGGCGACGCCCTGCGACGCCACCTTTCTCCAAACACCCTCTTCCCCACAGAAGTGGTCACCATGTCCAACGATGAGTCCGCTGCAATACCGCCCGAAATTTCCCAACCGCCCTTGGTGACAGAATACTCGGACTCAGAAGACAGTGATTCGGCACCGCGCGTGTATTTCGGGCCTATACAGTCTCCCGAGAAAGAGTTGACGTCGAAACTCGCCCACAGGAACAGCTTGAATGGTGGAGTACTGAAGACACCCGTTCGGCGACTGCGTATGTCCACGGAACAAGCTTTGACAGCAACGGATAGTGGCACGCAGGCCGAGGAGAACGATAATGTAAGGCAGGGTGAAGGTGCGCTGGCGGAAGTTGGAGCTTTGCAGGATGAGGACACGTTGGACAGGGAACTGGATTTAGACGGTGAGCCCAACAGTGAACCGATACATTTCTGATGTTTTGTCGACGCTCGAGAGCTAGAGCCGTCGTCCGCCCTTGCTGGGAAGATCCTGCGTGCACACGACAATCCTTCGCCTCCACCTGCGGACGTACGTGAAGATGATTCAGACTACGACATCCCTACTGCACACCGGTCCCGACACACTATCATGCCCAGTCGTGTACTCGACTTCGGCGACGTAACAGATCAGTCCGACGTCGAACGGGCACAGGGTGCAGGCGGCCCTGAGGCACCGATACATAGTATGGTCGATTCTACAGCTACAAGGACCCTCAAACTAGACACCGAGCTTCCCACCGATGTTGAGGAGGCACACAATACGTCTGCTCCCGACTTGATAGCGTTCGACTCATTTTCTACCCCGTCTCGATCCACGCTTGACGCCACAGCTGCCCTGCGAGACACTGCACCGACAACATCTCAGCCTACTGTAGACGACCTTCTGTCTGCCTCACCTGTTTTTCCTCTGTCTGCCGTTACGGATGCCACCGCCGACTCTGCTTCAGAAGTCCAGGCATACTTGAAACAGGTGACTCCAGTTTCCGGTACTGGCACTTCTGTCAACCCCTTCGCATCGGGTATCCTGGATTCATATATCCCGTCAACCGGTATCCTTATCAATGTTAATACATCTCCAGCGACAGAGCAGCCTCAAGGACCTGTGGCAGGGGATTCGAGTGCCCTGGTACGATTTACGGAAGATATTGCTTCGAACTCCCAACAGGCGCCTTCTCATGTTCTTGAAACGAAAGACGTTCAAGCTGATGAATCCACTGCTCGGACGCCTCGACGTTCCTCCCGACTCAGTACGTCGCCATACAAGACGCCCAGGCATACAGATACCAGTCCCAGAAAAGTACCAGCCCTCAAGCTCCAAGTTGCTGACGAGTCTCGAAGTGCATTAGCCGTACCTGAGAAGGTACAGGTGAGAGCTATCTCCCCAAGTGTTGATACGGAGGCCGTAGAGAAGGAGAAGAAAGCACGGAGACGTGAGAGGGAGAGCCAAGTTAAAGGCAAGAGAAAGGAGGAAGCCTCAACAGACTTGTCCCATTTATCACCGACTTCTGCTGACTTGCTGACGAAGTTGATGCCTACTCCTTCAAGGAGTGTTTCTCCTGCCATTGCCACGGTGGAGGAAAGCGGGGTAGTCATTCCCGCCTTCCTTCAGAGGAACCAGGATGACGATATTAGGGTCTCACGAAAGATAGACCCTGAGTCGCGGGCCCCTTCCACCCCACCTCCATGCCCCAGAGCGCAATCAAGAGTGATTCAGTCATCGGCCCTGAGACCTTCCAATCCACAGCTTCGACCAACAGACAGGTCTATATTATCCACACCAATGAAACTTGCATCCGCACTAAACGACCCTTGTCGTACACCGGCTCGCAGGATCCCTATGTCGCAGGCAGTGAAGGAGGGGTCTATCTCTCCGGAGAAAGCAGCCCAAGTGGCTTCATCGTCGAAGCGACCTCAAGCCCCAAGTGCGGGCCCTCTCAGCAACCGAGTTTTCAAACGGTTAGTGCCGGACTTATCTGACCCTAATCGGAGTCCCGCAAAACGAGCACCAGTGGGAGCGATGGTATCACCGAGCAAAAACGCTCCTATCCGATCCGTTTTCAGCTCGCCAGCGAAGCCTATGGTACGTGAACGAAGTCAGCCCCCTGAACCTCCAGCTGTCCATCGGAGCCGTTCAGTTGAGCCCGAGCAACCCGCAAGGCAAGCTATTGTCGGGCAGACGATCCCTAGGCCAGGGTCAGCACCCATCCCCGATATCGTGCCCCGATTCGACCGGAAGGCTGCCGACAGGCCTCCAAGAAATCCTCTACCATTCCCCATAATGCCCATACCTGAAGAGACTGAACCGCCGAGCCAACCATCTTCCAGTCGAACCCAGAAAGCAGTCCCATCAGCCCAACCGAAGTCTGCGCTGCGCCAGCCATCAGCAACTACTGGCAGTAGAATCCCTCGGATAGGTAGCAAGCCATATGCGAGACCCGCTGGGAAGTCGAGCACACTACCAACTCCCCCTGATCGTAATGCCCGAGCTGCAGATCGTGATATTCCTGAAGTAAGTTCTGGCGCAGGGGTTTAGGAGATTAACTTCATGATGATGTTGTAAATCTTTGCAGGTTCATGCTCGTGAAATACGTTCCCCGGAAAGTACTCTACCCTCCACACCCCCGCGAGAGGGGATCAGAGCCACGAGAAGAAATGCTGCAGATTCGGAGACCTCCTCACCTGCCTGTTTGAAGCGCAAACGTGAAGAGCCCCCCACCAAGCTCACCCCCGTAGTCGTGGTCAGGAAGGTTGTTCCCGGCGGATTTGGATCAGAGCATGTACCCATGTCCAGTCCGTTGCGCATACCGGAAGGCTCGGACGGGAAGCCCAGGGGCCGTGGTGGATCGACAACCGCTGTGCCTCTCGACCCTACGCCGTCGTTGAAGGGCCCCTCCGTCGATGCCAAGGGCAAGGATAAAGAATGTCCTCGTCCATCTCGGGGCGACGGTGTCATTCGTGCTCCCAGCGCGATCTCTGATAAACAACCCGATCCGAAACTAACATCATCCGCGCAGGAGCCCTCGACTTCCCCTCGTCCCCTGACCGATAAACCAGTGAATGAGGAACCAGTGCTCACTCCTACGGCTGAAGGAGACTCAAGAGCTAGACGGACCAGATCGCGAAAGCCGTTACAACACGGCGATGATGTCTTTGGCACTGCTGCTAGTCGATCTCGACCTCCGCCGCGGCGAAGAGTGCCTGCTCACTCCTCCGCGCCTATGCCATTTATAGGGATGACCCAGGTGGCCTTGAGGGCTTTAACGAACAAAAATACTCAGGCTAATCAGAAGTATTGGTTCATCGACATAGAGACTGAGGTCGTGCGAAAGCCTGGTCCGAGACCCGACAGCCCGACTACGAAGGTCAAAACTGCCATCCAAAAGCAGAAGGAAGAGCAGGATCAGGGGCGGCGCGAACGAGCACAGAGGCGAGCCAGGAGGACCGGAGGAAGCCTTGATGATGAAGGCGGTGACACAACCGCGGACGATTCTTTCAAACTGGGGGAGCCTGCTAAACATCAAAGGGGACCGGGAGATGAGACGGACTATGAGACCCCAGAGAAGCTGGGCCCTGCAGCGAAGAAAGCGAGATTCGATTCGGGCGTCCGGGATAAGGACGGGAAGAGAGTGAAATGGGATAAAGGCTTGCATACCCTCATATATCTTGATGACCCCAAACCCGAGCGCACTGTACAAGGTGTTAAGAAAGGTGGGCTTGCCAAGTCTACCAAGGTACGTGATAACTCAGTGCGCGCGAATACAGGCTGATGCTGTCGTCTCTTGTAGGAACTCCGCTTGGACGACCTAGGAAACGTCCCGAATGCCAAAGATCCCCTGCCAATCGCCGTACACGAGAAGGTGATTGTGAAGAAATTTGTTTACGACAACGACCCGGAGGCCGCAGTAGTAGAGGTGGAAACACCTAAACCAAAGTCCAGGAAGTCCAAGACGTGAATCTCTGCTGTGCTGCCCAGTGACCACAATGCGCTTGTTCTTATGTTATATGATATTTGATATGTTGTGACGCAAGTATACATCTCTTGCTACCCTGCGAAGCAGATACCGTAGTATACATGTTACCTTCTTCAGTATCTATTATCTTATACGCTCAAGCTATCTTCTGTCACATTTTCCCTCCCCTGTATGAGATGGTTGGGCTGGCCTGATTTGTCGGGAGAACAAAGACTTCTGCGAGATTGACGTGAGGAGGTCGAGATGCTGCCCAGGCGATCTCTTCTGCAATGTCCTCGGCGCTTACTACAGGAAAAGTGGGATCAGTGTTTCTCACCGAGTAATAGTGCTGTAACTCACAGGGTGTTAGGCCTTCGTAGACCTTGTCCGCCGCGGACTTATCGCCACGGAAACGGACGACGGAGAATTCTGTCTCAACCATTCCTGGCTGAATCTCAGTGACCCTAATCTTAGTGTCTACGAGCTCCCGCATAAGGGAGCCAGTGAAGGCTCGAACGGCGTGCTTGGTTGCGCAATAGATACTACCGCCGACGTAGGGTTCCCGCCCGGCGACAGAACCCAAATTAATGATATGGCCAGAGTTCCTCGCCTTCATGTCTACCCAAGCGTTTTGGTAAAACGGATACGAGAGAATGGGAGAAATCGTCTTACCTTTGACTAGCAGCTGGGTCATGGATATCAAGCCGAACACATTCGTCGCGAACATGGATTCAATGTCGGACTCGCTGATGGATCCAACCCGTTCGACCCCACGCACGAACCCAGCGTTATTCACTGCAATGGATCATGAGAAATACACCATCCTGGCGTGTGATGATTTCAGGCGTACCAAGTATGTCGATATTACGCAGGTCGGCCGGGATTTTATCGAGCAGGTTAGCGATTTGCGCCTTGTCCGAGACATCCAGTTGCACGGCAGCGATCTTGCCTCCGCCCTGGACGCCAGACTCCCTGTGTGCCGCCTCTGCCGCTTCCTTTACGGACTTCAAAGCCTCCGCTCGCCGGGCAACAATGATAACATTTGATCCTGCCTGGGCAAGGTGTCAGTCATGCTGGCCCGGTGATACAAGGTATGGCAACCTGCATACCTTTGCGAACAGGATAGCCGTGGCCTGCAAAGTAGCGATTGAGAACCATAACCCCTAGGTAAAGATAAGATCTGCTCACAGCGCCAATGCCGGCACTGGCACCCGTAATGAGCACCGTCTTGTTGATCAGTCTAGAAGCGTTGAAGACCATGGCCGGCAATGTGGAAGGCGAACAAGCAAACGTCGGGGGATCCGTCCAGAGAGGGTCCGATTGCTTAAATAGTTATCTGATCGTCCCCCTCCCGGAAGCAGGTGCCGGCTGGAAGCACTCCGAGCATCTCCCAACCTCCCTTTTCTTAGATTTCGCGCTGGTCCTGAGGCCAATAACGCTCTGAGTTGGCTGCACATCTCTCATAGGAATCCGCATCTCGCCACTCGTGATCCCGGTCTTCCGCACGGTGCTCCGCTCCAGGATGTCGGCGACTACACACTGGGAAGCCTTGTTAGCCTGGCTTCACCAGGAACATGGCATGAAAATCGGCGAGAATGATCTGCGCGTCGAGTGTCGATATAGACCTGGTTGAGTACCTCGATGCAATGCTCGCTTGATGGAGGGCTAAAGAGTGCGAAGGCGTCGGTAACGGACTGTACGCGCTCAACGTCTGCCCAGTGAATTGATGTCCTGCGTCCATCTCGTGTCGTGATTCTTACCGCTGTTACACTGAGATACAGCCCTCCACGACCCTGTTCACTGTCCCTGCGAGCGCGCTGCTGAATATCAAGACCTTGGTGAAGCGATATCCTCCTCGCACCCCTCCCTTGTCTGGCACGCAGTTGGTCACCCTGCATCTATTCTTACATAGACCCGAGGGCAATTCTGAATCTAAAGATCCTGCATTTGGGCCATACATCTCCGTCTTGCCCAGGAATTTCGACAGCCATCCGCTGACATGGCAAGTACGAAATTCATGCGCGGACTTACTGCAGCGCCTGCCTCCTTCGGTATCGAAAGTACTGGATATAGTCGCTCGAAGGTTTCAAATAGACTGGGATACCGTCTTTGAGTACTTGGTCTGTCTTGCTCGCCATTATCAACTGGTGATAAATTTGAATAAAATCATAGCAAGATCATCCGCATGTCATAGACGCCTCTTCCAGATCTGACCTTGACGCCTCTGTGAGCTTTACCAAGGACCCCACCACGGCGGATGACTTCCTGTGGGCATGGCTAAATGGTCAGGAACCAGTCCAGGTCACCGGTGGCAACCGATTTTCACTAAACTTCTGACCAGTGAACACGCGATGTGTTTATCAACGTCTGAAGCCTACCGGCTCTGATCCTGACAATTTGACCTTGTGCCCGGTCTTTGACTTCGCCAACCACAGCCCAGATCCACCCCATTTGCTCCCTCTTCCATCCAATGCAGAGATATGGGGAACAGGGTCAAAACGGGGAGAGGCTTACGGCTTGCGGACGCCACCTGATGCCAGCTTCGAGAAGGACCAGGAGTTATTTATCCAGTACGGTGCGCATGCGAACAAGACTCTGTTCGCAGAATATGGCTTCGTCAACGCCATGCCCGAGGGTCATGTCTTGAAGGGCATAATTAGTGGTGAAGTCGACCTACAAGACGTACTAGAGGAGATGTTGTTGGCGCGCGGTGCGGCGGGGCAGTGGATAAAAAGTGCTCTGGAAGAAGAAGGATACTGGGGGTATGTTTCCCGACCAGTTTTATGCTGCTCGCAGTGATCTTCCTGTTCTAGGGACTGGACTGTACACTCGTCTCCGAAGCCCGCTCACCCATCTTTCCGCTTGATTAGCGCGTTGCGACTATATCACAGCGTTCAGGTACCCACAACAAGTATACCACGCAATCCAGACGAGGTACTAGACAGGTGGAGGGACACGTTGATGGGCCGGCACGATAGCATATCCCCAGAGAATGAGCAGGCTTGGCGAGGGACATTGCTCGACATATGCAGGAAGGTGATTAGAAGAGCACGGAAAACCCTGGAGGAGATGAATAGCAGTAGACCAGAGCAGGACGCCGACGGGTGGCGGCAGTATGCGCAGGACTGCATCAAAACATTGTGGCGGGAAGAGCTGGAAGTAGCAGAGGCTGTCATCGTGAGTGTAGTGAATGGAGAGGAATTCTGGTAGTCTCGCCTACGAATATACTGTATAGCAGTGCCGTTTGTTTGGGGAAGAAGACACACTAGATACCTGTGATCCTTACGCGACACGGTTGCATGTAACCGCATACTCTACCCGTCCAAACCGTCCGAAGGGACCTCCGGCAGCAGAAGTTTCAAGCAGAAGAAGAGCTAGACATTATTCCGCAAGCTCGAGTAAAGTGTTCAGCAAGCAACCAGATAACGAGCAAACGGCAGTGAAGCGGCAGTAACAACGACATCAGCCCGGACAGGGGCGAATTTGCGTCCGACACAGCCGGGATGACATCGACGGACAACCGACTGTGAAACATCTATGCATAATTAGGGCAACGCCACAGCCAGTGCGGCGCCTTGTGAGCGCTCCCGGAACTCTCGGGCTGTGCTCGTGCTCGCCGTTATACAAGTTCCACCGGCGACTGCGCTGCTCTAACCTTCGCCGCGACGTCCTATCGGGCACTGTACTAGCCATGGCCGTCGAACGATTCTTGGGTACACGGGCGCAACGCCTGTTCCTTGCTACCAGTGAGTACATCCTGCCAGTACAATGCGGGAGAGATGCGGCGCTCACCGGTCGTGTTTGCTAGTCCTGTTCCGTGAGTTGGCTTTAATCTACATGAGAGTCTCGGATTGATGATTGAATGTGCCATTTGCAGAAACCGTAGCAGTGCTGGTCATGGTTGCGATCACATTCAGACTGGTACGCGATCGAGGATTCGTGCCTTCCTTACGTAGTCTGAGAGATCATGGCAGGTGGAGGAGCACGTCAACCTCAACGAGACCCGATACAAAGTCAGTACACGTCAGAATTTTGAGGGAAACCGGACGATTGACATTATGGTGGAAGACAATACCATGCTATCTGGCTCTCTTCGCATTGGCAGAGTATGTCTTGCGTGGCCCCCTTGTGCTGGAGATAGCTGATAGTCATCAAGGGTCTTCGAAATCCTTCTCGCTCTAGATGCCCTGCGATTACGGAATGTCATTCAGCTCGCTGGAATCCTTCGTGAGTGTGTATTGGTGCGATATTAAGCATAAGCTCAACCATCCTTCAGTATTCCATTGCGCGCTGATAGTCTTTGCTGCTCTACAAATTCACGAGACAAAAGATGCACTAAACTATGATGACAACTGTGCGGGACAAATTGTACGCATTTCTTTTTCTCGTCACTGTTCTCGACACAAATCTGCTCTTGTATCAGTACTGTAACGGCGTCTTGTGGAGACGAGTGCAGCCATACCTGATCGTGGCACCATGTATCATTGGAGTGTCATGGCTGGTGCTCATGTTCTTTGTCAGAGAGCTGTACTTCGAGTTTGGGTATGTCAGGTATGCTGCTTTGGTTGGACCTCTGCTCACGGAGACCTAGATGGGCAATCTTCCATGTTGTTGGTGCGAATCCCAAGATGAAGAGTATGTACCAATTCGGGATGAGGTGCATTAAACTAATTTTTGCGGCTCCAGCGATGTATCAGTTTTATCAAGTCATGGTCTGCCTGCTCAAGTTCAACTTCTTCTGCTTTGCCGGTGTCACGATGCAAGTGAGTCCAACGTGTTATCGCATTAGTCGACCCATACAAACAGTTCTGTAGATGCTTATCCTAGTGCTTGCAAGTAGTTCGGCAGAGTTCGGTGTGACCATAGCGGCAGTTCCGGTCGTCTTGTTCCTTTTGGTTGCATGCGCCATTGCGGTGCAGCGTGAAATTAAGTGGTAAGTCGCAATTCCTTGCTCTGTAAGGTTCCTGGCTAAGCTAGGATATCGTCAAGGCTTATGTCTGTGTCCCTTGTACTCATGTTGGGGGCTGAAGCCTACTGTAAGTTGATTCTGCCATTGCCGAGTTCATCATTGATTATCGTTCTCCATGATTGGCGACATAGGCAGTGAGTGCTTCCATCTTGGGCGATCGACAATAACTAACTTTCCTCTAGTATATAAGCTGATCCGCTTCTACGAGCCCTCTTCCTCGTGGCAATACCTCTCTACAAGAGCCACCTTGACATTCTTCAGTGAGGCTTCACTTCAAGTTAGTACAGCAGAATTACCAACCTACTATCCACAGCCGTAGCCTCGTTCCTATTGCTCTTCGCTACGTTTGCTATCGGTCTGCGCTGCTTCGCAGACTTTGACAAGGGCCTGAAGTACTCGAAAGTATACGGTTCCGGTCAGTCGTCCTACGGGCCTGTCCACCATCCGCTAAAGGATCTTTCCGGTGATTCACACTTCCTCTGTTTTTCATTAGATCTCCCGACGAAGGGGAAATACTCATCGAACGCTGTTACGCCGCTAGGAGACTCGGACGAGCGCGCTGGGATGGCCGAGCGGCAGTCGTCTTACGTTGGAGGATCGCGTTTGCAGCCCAGGATATCGATTGAGTGATTTTCTGGTATGGGTTTCTGTGGTGTATGGAGGGTCGGCTTATCTATATGTGACGACGCGCTTTGCGGGTACGGACTAGAGGATCTAATTATGGTTTGCTCACTTGCAGCGGATATTATTAGTTTCATAATACTGTTGTATACCCTACTCAGTAACATGCGTTCGAGTTATCGCGAACTATGGTCAGAGCGTCTGGCAGGGTCCGCCGAGATACTCTGGCGTAACGCGAGCCTGACGCGTCGACGCGCGTAAGCTTGGCAATCGGGAAGTCAATAAACGCGTGAGCACGTGAACGGAACCAGACGCGTCTTGCTCACAACCACCATGGACCGCGACGATCCCGCGTCCCAATTCTTTCCTGGAGAAGAGTCTGTCGACCTCTACGCTGTTCTCGAGGTTAAGTCAGACGCCAAAGCCGACGATATCAGGAAAGCGTACCGCTGCCTGGCCCTGCGATACCACCCAGACAAGCATTCCACCTCGGACGAGTCTGCGAAGGCCGATGCGTCTCTGAAGTTCCAGCAAATAGGATTCGCATATTCAATCCTGAGCGACGAGAAGAAGAGGGAGCGTTATGATCGGATGGGTAGAACGGACGAGGGCTTTGATTTGGGCGCGGGAGAAGACGGCTGGGAAGCGTACTTCGAGGAGATGTTTGACCGCGTCACGAAGGGCAAACTGGATGAGATGAAGAAGGAATACCAAGGTATGCTACACGATAACATGGAATGTCGTTGACCTGCACTAAGCTATTTAATAGGCTCTTCCGAGGAGAAGGCAGACCTCAAGAACGCTTACATAGAGACGGATGGTAACATCGCGGAGATCGTGAATCACATTCCTCACTCCACTCACGAGGATGAAGCCCGCTTCATCGTCGTTATAACAGAGCTTATCTCGAAAGGCGAGCTACCAGAACTGCCTGCATGGAAGACTGGTATACACGACGAGAAAGCTAAGCTAGTGCGCAAGAAACAGGCTGACAAGGAGGCGGCTGAGGCGGAAGAGCTCGCCAAGGAGCTGGGCGTGTGGGATGAGTTTTATGGCAGCGGCAAGGCTGGCCCACGGAAAACCAAAGGCAAAGGGAAGGGCAAAAAACAGCAGGAGGCAAATGCGGAGGATGGCGAAGACTACTCCGCTCTCCAAGCCCTTATACAGAAGAAGAGGAAGACTATGGACGGCTTCTTTGACTCTCTGGCGGCCAAGTACAGCGAGCCCGAAAGCAAATCCAAAAGCAAAGGGAATAAGAGGGGTAAGGTCGAACCCGATGAAGATGAGGAACTCGATGCCTCACCCAAGAAGAAGTCGAGGAAAGGCGTGCCGCCCCCACCAGAGATCGACGATGAAGAATTCGACAAGCTACAGGAAAAGCTCTTTCGTGACAAGGACAAGCCTCCGGGTGACGATGGGAAGGTTGGCAAAGCTAAGAAGGCCTCGAAAGGCCGCAAAACCAGATAGCGGGGATGTGACTGTTGTGCCAATTTGACTGTAATTCTTATTGTATTCTGGCTCTGAATCATGTTCACACTGTATTTCAGATATCATCTCGTTAGTATGTATTTTACTATCCAGCGAGCAGGAGTGCTATCCTAGCAAACCCGGGTATCATAGGTATCGTACAGCATCTATGCCTAGACTACGTCGAGCATGGATAATCGCGGCAAGCTCCTTAATGGACTCCTCTAAGATGACCACATTGTCCAATAACTGTGAGAGCGTTATGGTAGTTGAGCGAGGCGTATCTTTCCCTCCATCTTTCGGCTCCCGGTCCAGGAAAGGATTATCATCCTTGTCGCCCCAAGCGTTTGAAGCAGTGAATACATCGTCATCATCCGTATCCCATTTCTTCGTTTGACCGGGCTGCCAAGGTCCAAAAGAAGGAGGAGCAGCGGCGAAGGGCTCGACAGCAACAGTGCTTGTCTGCTGATAGTGGGCAGCAAAAGGACTGGGCGGCACCGACTTGTCCGTCCTGCGGGGTGGCGTCCCAGGGTCAGTGGTCGACTTGGTTCTGCCCTTCTTCGGCGTGAGGAATGATACAAGGGAGGCCGACTTTGAGGGTTTCGGTTTCGGCTTTGCAGGGGTTTCCGGTGGCGCCAAAGTCGCACTCCTCGACGAACTCATGCCGATGTTGCCATCCATGTCCAGAGCCAGCGTCAAAGCATCGGTCAGGTTTTCGGAGAAGAGTAGACCCTGGCGTCGCTCCAACAGATACTTGTCGAAGTCATCCACAAGCAGCCGATATCGCTCGAGCTGAGATACCAGCCCGTGGAAGATTGTGTGAACGATAGGACGGGAGTTCTCGTCCAAAACGGATGCAGGTAATGGATGCGATTCAGCTTCTAGTCTTTCCTCTATCCGAAAATCGATGGAGCGGTCATCCCCGTCGTCTTTCCCCGACATCACGTCAGCTTCAGTGTCTGCAGGTGGCGTTCGCTCTCCCTCGTTGGACGAAAAGGTCAACCAGCCAGCCAGTGAACGGTCAGGACAGATTGCCAGAGTAGCAAGGACACCTGTGAGGGCCATGTTGTATTCCGGTGAATTGGCAAAGAACTTTCGTAGGGACTCCAGAATCAACGTGAGGATAGGGTCATTGGGGTTTAGCCGATGCTTGAACTTTGCTCTTGTCTCAGCATCCACATCTAGCGTATATGATGAATCGCACTGGATTGCAATTAGTGCGTCCCTAAGATAATGATCGTATCCCGTGCTGAAGGCGTCACCATTGTGCGTGGGATCCACACGAGAGACGAGCGCTAGATATAGACCCATCTCGCGTTCATGTGTAGAGTATGTCGTCTGCGGTTGGGGGAATGCCACGGAATACTTGAACGACGTAGGTTCTTCGCTGCCTGGATATACAAACTCATCCTCATCTTCATCTTCCTCGATGTCAGCGAGTCCCGATGCCGGCTTGGAGACCAATGCTGACGGTAGCAATGCCGGAAAGGGATAACTTGTGGCATTGGGATCGTGAAATACTACGAGCAATCTCTCGATGGATAAGTGGCCATGGTGGAGGAGCATCGATCGCAACAACTGCAATGCCGCGGTGCCTGTGGCTTGCGACTTGGATCGCAGGTTAGTCAAGATCAAGTCCTTCAGCGTGAAGCGACCCATGGACGTGAAGTACTCCGACTGCTTCTTCGAGTCCGGGGCTTCCATCTCTAGCAGCATCATGGCACTGCTCTTGCGTCGCTCGGCTTTCGACGTCCTCTGGACGGGTTTCCGATTATGGGGATCATCCAGGTCCAGCGTAGATTGATGCCGGGCTCTTGGTCGCACAATCTCGTCGTTATCCTCACTGGTCAAGAAATTGACAAGTAGATCGGACACCTCTCCGTTACCTAGATCCCGAATCATGGTCTCGATGTAAGACATGACGGCCACAGCACTCCCGTCGGCATCGGAGCACTCGAGAATGGACGGATACAAAACGTTTTCCAAGAAGATCCGACGGATAGCGTCCAGGATGGACTGGACTATCGCATTTCCCACTAAGTTTGAAGCGTCGAGGGTGCTATCATGGGATTCATGAACGACGTTCCGACGGATCACGTCTTGCAAGAACTCAAGGAGTTTCAAGAAGTGGTCCAAACGCGCCTTGAAGTCGGGATTAGAGGAATCCTCTACGCCCATGGCCCGCCTTCTATCTCGTTCAGCTTCATCCTTCTCTTTCTCCTCCTCGGAAAGGGGGCCAGTACTTCCTATCAGCATACCATTACCTAGAGCTGCGTCGGAAGGTGGGGGTGGCCGAACTTCAAGCTTCGAGGGGAGGAGGGAATATACAGCACTGAGACCCGCGCCGAGGACTTCGGAAAAATCTCCGTCGACGATGTATTCGGCAAGTGCGAGCGCAGCATCCGCGATGGGATCCGGTTGAGGTTCTGATGAAGATGAGGATGCAGTGGGGGTTCTAGCCTCATCCCCGCCCAGCCGATGGACTGGTTCGCCCGGCGACATCGCAACATCCATTAGGAACAACAACCCTGCTCGGGCGAAATCCCCTATTTGCCCCTCTCGATGAACGAACCGAAGAAGGTAGTTGAATAAGAGGAACTCGTATTCCGGCTTCTTGGTTACCGACGACTCCGGCGCAGAAGTGATGGTCCCTTGGGATCCTGAAGGTGAAGGAGGACGCTGAGGCTTGGACGCTTCAGACTCAGCCGCTTCTCCTAGAGTCTCGTCGTCTTCATCCTCCTCCTCTTCGTCTTCCTCTTCCACGGAGAACAGAGGTTCGGAACGGTACCAATGTTTGTCATGGAAAAAGATCATGAGAAGTTCTCTATAGGTTCTGATCCTACTGCACAGTATACAAAGGAGATTGACCACTAGCGGGATCAGTGAGACCACTGCGTACAATTTGACACCTATTAGACTTACAATCTTCTTCATACTCGGACGGAGAACTTCTAACGGCGTTCTTTGCCGCGCCCATGACTTTGTTACGGTTGTCCAGCTGCTCCTGGAGGTCGTCGCCGGCACAATTCCTCAGTAGACGCAGAACAGCCTTATGAACCGCAGAATGGACCAGAAACTGTTCGTCCAAGAGTACTACCATGTTCTGGACGGCACGTAGCACCTCCGCTTGAATACCAAACGGACGGTCGGACTCGCTGAGTTTGACAAGGGTCCCAAGCACATCTGAGTCCGGGTGAGCCACATAACAACACCAGACGCAAGGTACGCGCACCGTTCTTCAGTAGATATTCTAGACAAGCACCGGTAGCGCTGCAAAGCGAGACATGAGAGTGCCGCCCGACCTCGCCGCATCACAACACCCACCCTTCTTCTGTCCTTGTTGACTCCCAAACTAGCGAGTCCACCATCGACTGGAGATGGGCGGGGACGTCAGTTGACTTGATACCTCTCGTTAATTGGCGTTCATCCGGGTACATGAGGGTATTCTGTAAACCTTTGAGCATGCAGCAGACTTGGACGGAGATGTAACGCACGCACTTTGACTAGTGTCCATGACTTGTGAAACTCCAGGGCATGATCATGCGGGGGTTTTGGCGGTGCCTGTGATCCAGAACGAAGGAACTTGGAGAAGTAATCCATGTTAGGGCCACAGCGTCGGGTTACACTGGTGGCCTGTTACTTGCACGAGATACCCAACCTCTGTTAATTACCAGCCTGACACTAGATGCCTTGAAATCTCCTGGAAGATGTCTGGTCCACGTCAGGCTTTGGACATAGACCGATATATACGTCGCAGGCCACAGGCCGGGCGGTGTGTGCGACGGAAGGAGGTTGGCCAGGTTCAGAACCAAGTCCGGCGGCGCCGTCAACAAATGCCGAACACTTGCTCTTGACCAGGACCCCCGATAATTGGTATAAATGCCTGATCAGGTTCCGGACAAATTTTGGGACTTTAGAGCCCTCAATGGCTGATTTTTTACAGACAAATCGGCCGATTCTGGAGAACAGGCCTGATTTTTTTCCGGACATTTTGGTCAGACTTGGCCATTTCGACGCCATATTTACCCCGGCACCTGCCGGGGAAGCTAAATTTAGACGTACCCACGCCACAGTTGCCTTTTAGAGCCACTTTTTCGCTGTGATGCCTGTTTTTTTCCGGACAAAAGGTCCAAAATCGGCGATTTTCTTCCGGACAAAATGAGTCTACTTATGGGTCCTCGGGATCAGGCATTTATACTGATTATCGGGGGTCCTTCTTGACCGTGCTCAAGTTTCCCTTTCGCGTTTGTGTTCTAGTCTCTGGCGGCGCTCTACTCCGTACAGGCTACCAGATGCCGCCAAGAATGAAGAGAACTCGCTCGCCATCTGTGAAGTTGGGACCGCCTGACTCGCCTCACAAGTTCAAAAAGCTCAAGCTACTAGACTCGTACGCAGCGGACTCTCCTTTCCCCGATTATCCTCATCCTACACCGGAAGAGGCTGCGGAAGTACATGTTATCCTGTCGAAGCACCATCCCCACCGTCAGTCGGAACGCAAGACACCATCTGCGGCTAACAATTCCGCTCAGACGTGCGGGGGAGTGCCGAACGTGATCGAATCCCTCATAGGGACGATTCTGTCACAGAACACCTCGTCGAGGAACTCTACTGCCGCAAAGAAGAAGTTGGACGAGGCATTTGGGAGGAACAATTTCGCCAGAATTGCGTCTGCTCCCCGGCCGGAGGTCGTAGCCGCGCTCAAGACCGGCGGACTGGCTAACAAGAAGGCTGCAACGATCCAAAAGCTGCTGGCTTCAATCAAGGATAAACATGGCGACTACACACTTCAGCACCTCGCCCAGAAGGGCGTGCCAGACGACGAGATCATGAAAGAGCTGGTCTCATTTGATGGGGTCGGTCCCAAGACAGCCTCATGTGTCCTACTCTTCTGTCTAGGAAGGGACTCATTCGCCGTGGACACCCATGTCTACAGACTCAGCAGGCTCCTAGGATGGGTGCCGCAGAAAGCTGACCGTGTACTTGCTCAGGCCCACCTGGACTTGCGCATTCCAGACGAACTGAAATACGGTCTCCACGTTCTCATGGTCACGCACGGGCGGCAATGTCCTGGTTGCAAGAACCAGGGCAAGGGGCCATGTCCGCTAAAGACATACCTCAAGGAGCGGAGAGGTGTCAAGGACGAAGAGCTGGATGAGAAAGTAAGAGAGGCTGACCAGGAGGTCAAAGAGGAGTATCCCGAGTCCACTGTGCACGGCCAAGACGTGCGGTGAGCAGTTAGTCTTGTCGCGTAGCTTATGATATCTGTAACTTCTTACCAAGCAAATAATGTATTGCATACTCAGGCCAGAAGTCCTCCATCTTACTCATCATCATCATCATCATCCAGCGGAAAGTCGAATTTTGTGGGGGCAGCTGGGCGACCTAAGTGAAAGTGATGGCCAACAGACGTGTATGTCCTGATCTCATCCTGGTCACGGTTTACGTTCACACCTACTGCCTCGTATACAGGGTTTATTCTTGACTCGATTTCGGTGCATATCCATGTCGGAACCCATAGGATACTAATATATCATGAACATTTCCCGAGTAATGCACTGATCCAGTCATCCTTTCGATGTCACGGTTCTTGCACCTAGATCCTGTTATCGAAGGACGCTGTTGACCGGCTGCATTTCTTGGCGCCGGTCTGTCGAACATGCTCGGATGGAGAGAAGTTAACATGCATAGTAAGTACGTAGGTTGCTCCATAGAGAACAGTAGTGACTATTTAGAAATCGCTTTGGCGCGTCTGCATCGTGCAGTTTTCTTTGTGACTCTTGTCATGCTGCACTGATCACCAGCATTTCAGATTATAGGATACCAATCTGTCGCAGGAGGAGTGTACGCGCCATGAGGCTGTACCGCATCGTATTCATCTTCGTGAGGCAGTGTTGGGCCGGTTGACGCCAGTTAGTTTAGTTGTTTCGTCAACTAAGCAACTAGTTCTACAAAGTTTAGGAACCGTTGACTTTTCGTCAACCTGCCCACGGAGATGAACTTTCCCACCCACTACCATATACGGTGAAAAACCTTAGCTAAGCACATGAGTTCAAGACCATAGAAAGCAACCCATCATTCCTGCAATCAGAATGGGCGGGGAACTCAACATCTGGACGGGAACTGAGGAGGACTGCTGGCGGGCAAGGCTCGCGCCACAGTTCCGCCGGAAGGTTATCGAAAAGTAAACGGAACTAGTTGACGAGTTGACGGTTCTCCGAACTTTCGTCAACTAGTTCGGAACTGGCACAACACTGTCGTGAGGTACGATCTCATAGTGCTGGTCAATTCTTATTTCGTTCGTCCGTTCGTCTGTTCGTTCGATTGAGCGCGTCCAAAAGAGTGAGGAAGCAATGATGGCCGGCGATCCGGGACCACGGTCATGTGATGTGCTCACCGGTCGCGGCAAGGCATCGAGAATTCCCGTGGCTAGTTATGTGGACGAAATCCGTCGACGTAGATTACATGCCACATTATTCTCCTCATAGCAATTCTGAGATGTATGGACCGGGTGCCCTGGCTGAGTATTGACCCAATTGGGGGCTCTTAT